TGAGGTTAGTTGCTGAAGTCCCAAAAGCAATTCATCTCATCTATAGGGCTGTTTGGTGGTTTGAAATAAGGCTGACTGTGTGTGTGTGTGTGTGTGTGTGCATGCATGTGTGCATGTGGTGTGTGTGTGTGTGTGTGTGTGTGTGTGTGTGTGTGTAAAAGAGAGGGAGGGGAAAGGTAAAGGAGAGAGGAAGTACTAAGGGGGAAGGGAAGGTTAGTTGAAATACTCTATAAAGAGAATCCCATATCAACTATATTTGGCTACCCACTGGAATAATTTATATAACAAAGGCAAAATAATTGCTTGATTCTTTTTCTTTATTTCCTAATTTTCAAAATAATGAGTGGTTTACTAGCTTCCTCCATTGGTGACCTTTTCTTTTTTTAAAGTATCGTCATGAGCTCAAGAGAATTCGACAGACAATTTGATAGACAATTCACAGTTGATGTGTTTCAATCCATTGTAGTTATTATGCTTACTGATGCTCGATGTGTTCCATCCGTGGCCAGTGGGAGTCTCCTCAAGTCAGCTCCTGAGTTTTTTTGACGTTGACCCTAGTGGTCTTTGGCAATTTCCTTGATATCCAGTATAACAAAATGTTCCAGATTTCTTTTTGTATGTTTCTTTTCCAAATCTGTACTTAGCTATTTCTGCAAGGATCCCTGTTTCCTTTTAATAAGAATTATATTTCAAAACCCACAATCTGTGTGCTAAGGATGCTCGTTGTTATTGAGTTGGCTTTGTATTTAGTCCTTTATGTAAAAAGAGCTGGAAATACATTTTCTTTCTATTTACTTCCTTCTTTCCCTTCCTTTCTTCCCTCCCTTCTTTCCTTCTCTTTTTCTTTCTCTCCTTTCCCTTCTCTTCCTCACTTCCTTCCTTTCAATAATTCAATAAAATAAATTGTGAGTTCATACTGATACTTAACGTCTATCTTATACCTTTAACTCACTTTTTCCCACACCGAGAATCCTGGTATCAAAACAGCATGGATGACATAATTTGAATATCACATAAATCTTTATTTCTTTATCCCCCTTTACACATACAGTAGTCTTAGAACAACAACACTAATTCTAATACCAACAACATGATTACTATTGTTTTCTCTTTTGAACAAAGTTTTTTTTCTTAGGGTATATTGCATTAGGGATCTACCATCAAATTACTGTTCTAAAGTTATTTGGAACAGTTATTCTCTGTATATTGAGCCACCAACTAGCTACACATTTTGTTTCATTTTATTTCTGATTTTTAGAAGTTTATTTTTTCCATTTAATTTTGTTTTATAATTAACTTGATTTTCAAGACTTGTAGTCATACTAAGGACAGTCATGTCAATATTTTGTATTTTTCATTTATGCAATTTCTGCACTTTTGAGATTCTTTTATATAGAACTGAAAATTAATGAAAATAACTAAGATCTGTGTTAACCATAGTTCTGACACTTTTTTGCTGTATCTCTTAGGGAAATTACACAACGTTCAAATTTCCAACAATGTGTTTCATAGACCACACTGCAGAATGGGAAGTCAGAGATGGGGTGGGTTGTGGGCATAAGATTCCATGGTTAAGTAAGTCTGAAAATTCTATACAGTTGATCTTTGAACAATGTTGGGGTTAGGGATACCAACCCTGGGACAGTTGAAAATTTGCACCTAACTTTTGACTCCCCAAAATCTTAGTTATCCCTTAGTATCTATGGGTGATTGGGTGCAGCTCTCCCTGCCCCACCGGCCCCATATCACAATCCCACCATGCTCAAGTCTCCTATATAAAATGCATACAGAAGGCCTTCTGCATCCACGGACTCCCAGCTGCAGATCAAAAACAGTATGGGCTTGAAAATAATCCACATGTAAGTGGACCCACACAGTTCAAACCCATGTTGTTCAAGGGTTGACTGTATTTTCTTGGAGACTCATGATATATACAACACGTAAAGGCTCTGAGAAGACCTGGAGTAAAGAATTCTTTTTAGATTTGTGTAACCCATTGTTTTGAAATTTATTTGTCTCTGCATCAAGAGAATATATATATATGTATATATTCCACTGATAGAGACTTCCAAGTTTTTTTTAATGTCAGAAGGGGATAAAAATACCTGCTTTACCATTCTCTCAAGAGTTATTGTGGGGATCAACTGAACTGGATATGAAAGATTTTTAGTATGTAAAAGAGACTACTGTTTTGCTAATGGCTATATTGAAACTTGGAAATGTGGAGTTTAACTCTAACTCTATGCTACTTAGGTGGACTTACTCCATTGAGGGGGCAAGAGTTTGATGAAAATTGGAGATTTCAGAATGACATATAAGGAACAATTGAGGAGGTTGTACAGATAGGAAAAGGATTCTATTTCAAAGAACATCTATGATTAGATAAATCGTTTTTGTCTAGATTCAAGGAAGTCCTGAGCCCGATACAGAAAAGGGCTTGTTTTCCTAGTGGGTAGAAGTGATCTAGGGAAGGACTAGAAACTACTATAAAAGTCTGATTTATGTGAGGCAGTCTTCCTAGTGCATTGAGTATTGAGAGTGAGGTACATACCTTTGATAAGGTATGTATTTTTAGGGCTGCTGTGCAAAATACCACAGACTGGGCGGTTTGAAAACAGAAATTTATGTTCTCACACATCTAGAAGCTAGAAGGCTGAGATCAAGGTGTCAACACGGTTAGTTTTTTCTGAAATCTTTCTCCTTGACTTTTATGTCTGTACAAAACTCCTCTTCTTATGAGGATATCAGTCATATGGATTAAGGCCTATCCTAATGATCTCAATCAAAATGCAGCTACTGAGTATCTGTTATGTATAGGCCCTGGACTTTCAGAGGTAATAGTATCTACTGGAAGGAAAGAGCAGGAGTAGGTATGTAGATGCAGTGATGGGGGCAGTTCAGTATAAATTAGATGCTTTGAAGTCTCTTCTACCATTTATTCAATGAACATTTTAATCACCAACTTTATTCTTAATATTGTGACAGAAAGTTGTGATACCAACTTTCACCATTTGAAGATGTACATTTTTTCACATATTAATGTTTCTGAAATTATGTGTTTTATAATCATAATTAGTTTAAGTGGTAACATCTTTTTCTTTCTTAGTGGTACATGAAATAACAATGCTTCTTACAATTGACAGAGCTAATTAGATTCAATAAAACATGAATTTTGGTTTGCTAAACAAAGTTCTTGTTCACAAAACACTAATGTTTATGAACTTGCAATGTACTGGCAATCCCCCTATGACTGTAACCATGTAATATCCTTCATCAGCTTGCCTTTTTCCTCTTTAAATATGTGTTTACTCAAGTATGGTTGTCTATTTTCCCACTGTACTGTCTCTCTCATTCTTCAGCCAATTGAAACTTTCATATCTGTCTTCAGCCTCAATTTCTTTCCTAGGCTTTGACTCATAATTGGCACCTGAATATTACTTTGTTGTCTTGATGTCATCGGGAATTCAATACAGTGCATCATCTTTCCTTTTAAGCCAGCTTCCCTGGATTTTTCAGATTTAGCAATTCAGACTTGATATGTTGGGAGCCATCCTTGATTTTTCCCTCTTTTGTTTCACTTTTTCTACATATCTAGTATGTTTCCAAGACTTGGACATTCTTCTACTTGCATTAATCTCTTCCAGTTCCACGATCACCATCTCAGTCCAGGCCCTTGTCTAATCATGCAAGGACTACTAATAATGATTTCTACCTCTTCCTCTGATTCATCTTATATATTATCACCACTTTAAATTTCCTCTAACATTGTGCTATACACTTGACTCCCTGCTAAAAGTCATTTAATGGCCCCTTACTGATCATTAAATAAATTCCAAACACCGCAGCCTGGTATTCAAGGTTCTCCACAATTATTCCTTTGCAGCTCATCACCCACCATCTAAACTGAAGGAAGTGGTCCACACTTTTCAGCTACCACAAACTCGTCTTGAACTATTCCTTTGTCTAGAGTCCTATTCCCATCCTCTTAGTTTACGTAAACCCAGGCTTTCCTTCATAACGCAGCTGACTTATCTAGGGAGAGCATTTACTGATAGCTTCTGGTTTACAGTGAACCTTCTTCTCTGAACTCCTATGGTGCTTAATGCATATACAAATAATCTGCTTTTAGCATGTGCGCCCCTCTATTCCTTTCATGCATGAAAATGTCTTCCCAGTAAGAATTATATCTCTTAAGGGCAGAGGCTTGGTCACATTTCTAGTGCCAAAGATCTTTTAAATATGGTAGAATAAATTTTAGATCTGGAAGTTTACCTAGCCTCATTTACTCATTTCAAAGATGAAGAAACCAAGATACAGTTTGTTCAGATTTGTTTAGTATAAAGCCACAGCCAAGCGTTTGCTGATACTTACGATTATAAATTAGAGGGGTGGGCTTATACGAAATGGCAGGATTCAGAGGGAGGAATGAGAGCATTCTCTGAATAAAGGAGGGAATATAGTTATTTGCGTCAGGTTTGGGAATAGGTGATCCAAACTGCCTGATGGGGACTGTGTAGTGGCTACTCCAGAGCAGGGCTTTTCTTCTGCATAACCCACAGGCTCTCGAAAATGTCGGACGTTCAGTAACGTTTCTTACATGAAGGGACTTCTTAAGCCTTAATACATTCTTCTTCGTAGGCATGTACCTTGAAGAAAGTGAAGCGCATTGGCTTTTTGACTTTCTGAGGGCACAGGCCCAGGGGAAGACCTGCTGCCCGGTGGTAAGAACCAGCCAAGGGCTCCCCATTCTATGAAGCGAGAGCCAGGACGCGCCCCTGGCAGGAATTTGTGGACTAAGCAGCAGCCCAGTCCTTGGCCACGATCCCAGGAAAGAAGAGCAAGGGGCTTTCCACCTGCCCTAAGCCTAACCCGGGACCGGAGGCCTCTCGGGTTCCAGCCGCTCTGTCACGCCCCCCGGCTTCCAGCGGCTCCTGCCACGCCCCCAGGCCGACCGCCTCTGCTCCGCGCCTTTCCCCTGTCCCGCCCCTCACGCTCGACGGGCTCGCTCCCGCGCCGGGCGCGCGAGCCTGCGAAGGCGGAAGGCGGCAGGGGCGCTCTGCCGCGGGGGCGAGCGCGCACGCGCTGTCCTGGGACCCGCTGCAGGCGTGAGTATCCACGTGCGGCGGACGGCAGGGTAAGAGGCTGGGATGCTGGGGTTCCGGACCGCCCCCGTGGGTGGGGAGGGGCTGAGGACTCGCGACGCGCGGCGAGTCTGCGCGCAGCGGGCGACTGGGCTCCCTGCTCCATTTCCCTCGGAGGCATGGCGTCGAGGCCTCCCCAGCCTAGTCTGCAGGCTTGTATGGGGTCCCGGTGGGGGCCGCGGTGATGATCGTGGGACCCCATGGCTGGAGCGGCTTGGCACCTGTTCCTGCGGTCCTGAGGGTCTGGTCAGCTGGACAGGAGGGAGAAACGTCAGAAGGGGTCTCTTTTGCAAGACGTGCTCACCTAGGATAGCGGCACTTCCTGGGTATTATGTCCACTTTGGGGGAAGGACCTTTCAGACTGAAAGGAACAAATCCAGCCCTGTGAAGTGGACGGTCGACTTTTCTTTTGTGGAGATGAACGCTCATGGCAAAGTAGGATGGGGAACTCTTCCGCCGTTGGCGTGGCAACTTCCTGGCCCAGTGAATGGGTTAGAAAAGTTACTGTAGTTTGCTTTACAGATGGAAAAAGTAATAAAGAAATCCTTTTTACTGTTCAAGGAGAAGAGGTGGATTAAAAAGTCTTACATAATATGTGTAACCACAGAGGGCTCAGTAAAATTAGATACTTCCTCCTTCACACGTGAAGAGCAAATAAAGATGTTCCTCGACTTAGGATAGGGTTACATCCTGATAAACCCATCTTAAGTTGAAAATATAAGTTGAGAATGCATTTCATACACCTAACCTATCCAACATCATATCTTAGCCTCGCCTACCTGAAACGTGCTTAAAACCTTTACATAAGCTTAAAGACATTCAGTTTCATCACAAGAGTAATTGCCTTCCCCTTCTTTTCACCAGAAGTAAGAGAAAAGTGGGCTATTTGTAGACATGCTGGGATGTGGAAAAAACAATATGCAAAAAACATTGGCAACAGATTATACTGTAGAGTAGGGCTTGTTTATCTTTGTGTTTCCGAGGCTGACAGAGCTGCGGGGTGGCTTGCTGCCGCTGCACATCATGAGAATAGTAGGCATATCGATAACCTGCTGAATTCGTATTGATTTCACACCACCGTAAAGTTGAAAATCCTAAGTCAAACCATGGTCAGTCGTGTTGGGTCTGTATTTCGTGAGTACCTGCTTTCTGTCAACATTTTTCTAAGTGCAGGGAACAAAGCAACAACTAAGACGGGATGATCCCTGTTTGCATGAAGCTTATATTCTAGTTGACAAATGTAATTTCCTTTTATGCTTCTTTAATGGACTATAACATGTATAAGATGATACTGTCCACAAATCATAAGTTGTAACTTGCTGATTTATCATAAAGTAAACACCTTTTATCTACCTTTCAAATCAAGAAATAGAACATTCACAGCATCTGGTCAGAAGACCTCCCTGGAGACCTCTCCCACTCACCATCCCCATTTTTCTCCCCAAAGGTAATCTCTTCCCTGGTTTCTAGCACCACAGATTAGTTTTGCCTATTTATGAAGCTTTCATAAATGGAACCATATGTATTTTTTGGTGTCTAGCTTTTCTTAAAATTGTAAAAAAAAATGGTTTGTGAGATTATTCCATGTTGTGTGAAATTATAATTTATGATAGTGAAAAGAATTAAGAAGAAAATTAAAGAAGGTAATGATACAAACAGTAAGAGGTGGAAACCTTAGTAGGGTGGTTTGGGGTGATTTTTTCCGAGAGGACAACTTGAAATATAACATGAAGAATAAAAGATTCGCCAGTGAGCTGTGTTAAGAGCATTCCAAGCAGAGGGAATAGAAGTGAAAAGGAACTGAGCTTTGAGTGGACCTGACAGGTTCTAGGAAGAGAGGGAAAAACTTGTGGGAAAGTGGGAAGTGATGAAATTGGAGATGCAGGCAGAGATTATATCACAGAGGATCTTATGGCTGGGGTATTTGGATTTTATTCTAAGTGTAGTAGATGTTAGGAAGAGATGTTTTTGATTTTCAATTTCTAACATGAGCTCCTTGTGGAGGATGGGAAGTCTTCATTTTACTCATCAAAGAAACCCTATAAAAGTGGCAATACTGGCTAGTATTAGGAATTAGGGGAACCATTAACATGTTGGGAGACCAAATCTTTTGTATTGTCATTTTTGTATATATTAATTCAGACACATAATATGCTTCCAAAATCAGATTTAGAAGGCACTTTATAAATTAGTCATGTATTCTGCACTCTAAAAATATTGTCAGTCACTCAGCTCCTGTTTGAAACTGATAAAGAGAAACTCCTTTCTCAAGAAGAAGCTCATTTCATTTTGGACAGTTCTAATTGTTAGAAAAACTTTCCTAATAATCCAAATAACTAACATTGGTTATCAGTTCTGGGTCTATACAGAACTGATAATTATCATCTGTGAAATGTTGCCTTCCTTTCAGTACTCATGCAGTTGAGTTTTGTTGGTTTGTTTTTTTCACATTTTAGTAAAGGACTTTGAATTTATTTGAATGTATCCCTGTTATGATTTCTGGAGTTAGGTTTGGTCTATCATAAATGCTGTCCATATTTTTTTGGATGTTATTCTTTAGTCTATCAGTTAGCCATCCCTTCCATCACTGTGCGCTTAACAAACTCGATTAGCATGATATTAGTTAAGCATTATGTTTTTTAAGTTCATTGTGATTATAAGTGTTATTGGTAGTTTATTTTTGTTACTTAAGCTTCCTGGGGGGAAGTATTTAAATATTATCAGGAACTGTGGATAATTGCTTTAACTTGGTCATATTAAAGTAATTTAGATTTCTAAGACAGAATATTAAGCTATATTTTTAAATCCAGGAATTTGCATTTGTAAAATTAATTTTAAACATGATGTCATAGCAGAAAGTAGACTGTTACACTGCAGTTTTGGGATATATAGTGCAACATGTTGATAAAAGGGGCTTTTGAAGTTAGACTAAAAGAGAATTTGAATAGTTTATAATGGCCTTAACCTTGTCAAACCCAGAATCGGTATTAGAAAGTGATTTAATTTTAATTTTTCCTCTTTTCCTCTGTAATAGAAGTTTTAGTGAACAGTAAAATGATCAAAGGTAGATGTAGTAGGGTAGAGGAAAAAAGGAATTTATATAACCCAAATTTGAATAATACGGTTACATAGCCTTATTAAATGCTTTGTGTCATTCTACCTGATTGTGATGCTAGACTTCATTACTTCTAGAGTTGTCCCTTGCTATTTTTATTTTAAATAAGAAAATAATTTTTGCCCAGTAGGTTTAATGTGCCAAATTTACCCTAAAATTTTCAGTTGATTTATTTTATTTTTCTGAATATATTTAAAATGTATCCTATTGTTGAAATGGCCTACAATTTTTCAAAGCTTTTTACTTTTAAACTCCCTAACCCAAAGGAAAAAAGTGAAAAAATTGAAACATGTCAGTGGTTAGTTGCATATTGCTGCTTTTTGTATTTTCTTTTAAAAGTTGGGGCTATTCTTACTAATTCTTTCAAAAGGTTCATTCTCTAAGATGGAAAATTATTATAGTTAGTGCAAATATATTTTGGAAGAAAAGAAGTGAAAAATCAAACTACATAAATTACCTTAGTGGAAGACTTTCTCAAACTAAATAGAAAGATAAAATTCCTCTTTCTCTCTTTACCAAAGATAAATCACCCTTTTGTTTACCTTTGCGGTCTTATTTTTACCTGTAGGTGAACATGCTCTAGATAGAATTGACTGTTCTACTACCTATATATCTGCTGTTTTTCTTTACTCAGAAGTATTCCCTTGTAAGAGCAGATCCTTATTTTATCTTTAGATATGTTGAGTCTCATTTAACAAGGAGAGCTACCTTTTATGGTATATTTCTAAACTAGAGGACTAGGGAATAAGGAATTTAAAACTAATCTGTTTCTAGCTCTCTACTTGGTTTAATGGGGTCATTTTGATAGATATTATGCTTAGCTAAATCTTGGTATCTTTTTTTTCCTCCTCCAGGCCTCTTCTTCATAGACTTAAAAATCAATATTTTACGGTTTGGAAACGAAGCACCACTTGAAATCCTCTCAAACACCCAATTCCAAAGAATTGGTAACATTCTGTGATCAAGAAAAGAAGTGGCTGACTGCATCTTAAAAGTATTCTGGCACTGGTCCTGTTTTTTTTCCCCTCCCTTAATTTGAAGAATTATGGAGAAATGGCACTTGATGACAACTGTGGTCTTAATAGGACTAACAGTACGGTGGACAGTTTCTCTTAATTCTTATTCAGGTAACACATTTTTACTGTTTAAAAGATAGGTAAATATTCCTTTGAATAGTTTTTGTTTGTTTGTTTGCTTTTTGGTAATAATTTACAGTTTTCTGAAAGGGACAGAGAAGTATTTCAGGCTTTATTGGTGTGGTCAAGAAAATACACTTACATGTCTAATTCTAATAAGAATTTCTATAAGAGCTAAAGAGAAGCGTGGGCTTTGTGACACGAGGAAAAAAATGTATTCTAACTAGGGAGATGAGAAATTGAGAAACGGTTAGGCATTGAAGAGAGAAATGAGTTAGTATTTCAAGGGGGAGTACTTCAAAGGAGGCTTTTTTTGTTGTTTGTTTAGAGTAGGGAAGGCATGTAACCAGATTGAAAGGAAGAGACCAGTGGAGAATAAGATTGGGAATGATGTGAGAGAAAAGGAGGGAGCATTGATGGAGTGTGGACCTGGAGAATGGAGTTGGGATTAAATTTAACCCTGTGAGTATTTATTTGCACCTTTCGTGTTCCAAGCACTGTCCTAAGTTCTAGAAACACAAGGTGAATATCCAGCCCACATTTTTGTAGGTAAGTGGTCACAATATAATGTGATAATTGTAACAGAAGTATGTGTGAGGTATAGAGGTAACATAGAGAAATGAATGATCAGGACGCATTAGAGAAGATTTTTTGGAAATGATGTTTAGTTCAGGTTTGAAGGATGAGTTGGATTTGGGTAGATTTTAGGCAGATTAATAAAAGATAAATTTCAAGAGATGAAATTTGTCCAGGGAACAAATAGGAACACTGTCTTCAGAGAACACTTTTATTACTAGGATTAAGCTCCGATTTCTTACCCCAGTGCAGTTCTCTGGTGAACTAGGCTGGGCCAGTTGTAGGAATCCCTTTTTTCTTGGTGAGAACCAAAGTAGGCAGGTCTTATTTTGTCCAACTTCTCTGTAAGCTCACACCCAGCCTCAGAGGTAGAACAAAGCAAGTACAAGAGATAAACTAGAAAATATTTATGTCAATTTCTAGAGCAGATTTTTATCAATGTCATCCATTTTAAGCCTTTCTAATACTGAGGCAGTTCCCAAGCGTGAGCATTCCAGTTACTCCACATCCTTCACCACATTTGGTAGTGTTAAACTTTTGAATTTGTTCTAGGCTGGAGTGTGTGAAATGATATTTCATTATAGTTTTATTTGAATTTCCTTCATTGCTAAATCTGTTTAATTGGAAATTTATGCATTTCTAAAAGATTGAGCATATTTTTTTATCGGCCATTAGTATTTCCTTTTCTGATATTTGTTTATGTCGTTTATACATTTCTATTAATTTTTTTCTTATATATTCTGTATTTTGTTGTTTATTTTCTTAGGTGTTTTGTATATTCCGGCAGCTAACCTTTGTACAAGTTGCAAATATCTTCTAGTGTGTGGCCCGTCTTTTCACACTTTAAAGTATGTTCATAAACAGGAGTTTTTGATTTTTTATTTTTAGGTTTTCAGTGATGTTTTTATTTATTTTTTATTTTTTATTTTTCAATTACAGTTGACATTCAATATTATATTAATTTCAAGTGTACAGCATAGTACTTTATATAATTTATAAAGTGATCCATCTGATAAATCTGGTACCCATGTGACCATGCATAGTTATTACAGTGTTATTGACTATGCTCCCTATGCTATACAGGAGTTTTTGACTTTAAGGAAATTTATCAATTTTTTTCCTTTACAATTTGTGCTTTTTATATCTTTAAGAAATCATTCCCTACTCTTAGGAAAATATCACAAGGATGTTTTCATAAAATTTTCTTCTAAAATTTTAAAGATTTATCTTTCCTGAGTCTTTATTGCCTTGGAATTGAATTTTGTGTATAACATTTTAGATAGAGTTCCGTTAAAAATTTTTTTTCATGTAGACAGTCAGTTGTTTCACTTCATTTATTGCATATTCTACCTTTTCCCACTAATCTGCATTATGAGCTCTGTCTATATTAGGTTTTTATATATGCATGGATCTGTTTCTGACTCCATTCTGATCCATTGGTTTAATACTGCCATGTCTTATTACTATAATTTTACATTAAGTCTTGATATGTTGTAAGGCATGTCCTTCTACCTGGTAGTTCTGTTTCAGGAGTGTCTTAAATATTCTGGGCTTTGCTCTTTCATATTATAGGCAGAATTTCTGAAATGGCCCCCCAAAGATGTCCTGCCTTAATCCCCAGAACCTGTGAAAATTATGAGAGCTTACCTGGGAGTGATTATGTTTTGTTATACGGCATAGTTGACTTTAAGATGGGGAAATCGTATTGGGTTATCCAAATATGCCCAGTGTAATCATATGAGCCCTTAAAAGCAGAGAACTTTCTCCAGCTGGTGGCACAAGGGGACTCCAGAGAGATTCACAACCTAAGGACTTGATACTGTTGCTGGTTTGACAATGGAGGGGGCCACATGAGAAGAAATATGTGTGGACTCTAGTTGCAGAGAATAACCCCCAGCTGACAGTCAACAAGGACACCTCATACCTGTAGCTGAAAAGAATTGAATTGTGCCAGTAGCCTGAATGAACTTGGAAGTGAATTCTTTCCCTGGCCTTCCAGATGAGTTCAGACTGGTCGATGTGTTCTTTTGGCCTTGTGAGACCGTGAGCAGAGAACTGTGCTAAACGTTATAATACTGAAATTATAACAGAATGTTGTTTTAAGCTGCTACGTTTGTATTAATTGTTACACAGCAATAAAAAGCTATACACACGTATATGTCTTTTTAAAAAATGACCTTGTCAAAGACCAAATGAAAAACCCTGTTGGGATTTTGATTGGAATTACATTCTTCAGTACTGTTGATTAATTTGGGGGGAATTGGCAATCATTACCATGGTGGGGCTTCTAATTCATTAAGATGGTATGTTTGTCCATTTCTTTAAGTCTTTTTTAATGTCTTTCAACAAAATTTTATAATTTTCTACCTAAAATTTTACATATCCTTTCTTAGATGTACTCCTAGGAATCATGTAAACAAATACACACACACACGCACACGCACACACATCATATATATATATATTTTTCCTTTTTTTCTTTTTTTCTCACCATTGTAGATGGTATCTCTTTAAAATTTGCTTTTTCTAAATGCTCGTTTGGGTATAAAAATGTGGTTGACATTTTCTATTTGGCTACCTTTCTAAACTCTTTTAATAATTTATATGAAGGATCTTTTGGATTTTCTGTGTAAAAAAAAAAGAAGTGATCTGGGACTAATGACAGTTTTTTTCTTCCTTTCTACTGCTTACCTTCTAAATTTCTTTTTCTTGTCTTTTTATTGCTAGGACCTTATTGCAGTGTTGAATAGAAGTAGTGATCAGGCATCTTTATCTTGTTCCTAATTTTAATGAGTGCATTTAATTCACAGTTATGTTTTGTTCTTTCTAGTATTGAACCAACCTTGTATTCCTAGAATATCTATTCATTATTTTTTTATATTAGTACCTGTTTTTACCACCTGAAAGAAATCCGAAGATTTTTGCTTTTACAGAAAAAGCTGTTGACCATACTAATGTAGGTCTTTTGTAAAAGTAAAGTAGGTTAACATGAGTTTTCCATGCAGGCATCTCCTACTTTCCGAAAGTTCGTGTTCCACTTAGCTTTTAGAAAAGACCTGCTTTAGTACCTGTTTTGCTTGCTAACTAAAAGAAATCCGAAGATTTTTGCTTTTACAAAAAAAGCCGTTGACCATACTAATGTAGGTTTTTTGTAAAAGCAAAGTAGTTTAACGTGAGTTTTCCAAAAGTGGGAGATAACGCTTTGCTTTATGCCATTTCAGCTTATAACAGTTTTCATAGGAAAGCTCTACTTTCGGATAGCAGGAGAAACCTATATTATCTTTTTTCTTTTTTTAAGCATATTGCTAGATTTGGCTTATTAATATTTAAGATTTTAACATCTATGTACTTAAATTGCCCCATAAGAAAGTCAACATAGCAAAATTACTTTTGGATTACCATGTAAAAAAAGTATTGTTATTACACATTAGTAGAATATTTGTAGGCATCTTTTGTAGGTGGTGATTCTGTCAGAATTCTCAACTCTATTATAAAGAATATAATATTTAGCATTCGCATGTAACCTCTATATCACAGGAGGCTGGGAAAATTAATGAATACATATGACATTTGTGATTCCACTAAGATTTTTTTCTATTAATTGAAACACTTTTTGGTTATAATTTATTTTTTAACATGCTTATTTTAGTTTGCTTTTTGTTTATCTTCTTTTAATGTTCTAAGTAGGAAGCACAGGAGTGAGGAAGCTCAGGTGACCTTGCTTAGTATTAAACTATTATTTCTTTGGAAATGCACATATTGGATAGGCAGACAACTTACGTGTATTGCAATTTAAGATTTTCTAAAATTTATACCTCTTACATATTGACATATACCCCTTACATAAGTGATACTTATGTAATTAGTTTTTATAGACCTGAAAATATTGAATAAATATTGTTAGTTGCTTTTAAACAAGCCATGGAGAGGAGACAAATTCTGATTTTAGTATTGATTATTTGTCATATCTTGTAGAGATTCACAATTTGTCTATACTTGATCCAAAGTGTAACCATTGTTTTTAGAGCAAATAGCAACACTTGAATCAATTTTAATAATCTTTTTTTCCTAAGCTATATTGGCTATTTATGAGAAGAAAGCCATAGAGAATCACTGTTTTTGCAACATAATTAGTGTTAAAGTATGACTGTGTTCTATTTAGTTGGTTAGTTTCTCGGAGCTTACCTATTACTATAGGTAATGTTTGTAATGATTATTTTCACTAACCAGGATAATATAAAATGGAGATTTTATTCTGGAAAATTTTAGCCAAATTCTCCTCTCTTATAGTGTTTAAAATTTCAACGTAAAGGCAAGTAGTATGTATTGTTTTCAAAGAAAGTATTTGTTTTTTTAAATTCTAACAATTCTGAATAGTTCAGCAGTTAATAAATGAACAATTTGAATGGTGCTTAAGCCCATTTTCCTGATAATGAGAAAAAATTGAAGCTTCGTAAATATACATTAGTCTGTTTTCTTTATGTAATTCTAATTCTCATGTCAATGAATTTGTAGAATTATTCACACAGACGGAATCCTTTTTGCCCTTCCCAAGTGAAGCTCCCATAGGTGCAGTTGGGTTGTCCTTCTGGGTTGCTTTAAGGGCACTTCAGCAGTTTTAAAAACTTAAATACTAATTTCATAGCCAGTGTCAGCTGGATTTATTGAAGTAGGTCAGACTCTGGATAGAAACTTGTTTCTCAACCCTAAAGAGAGTCATTATCCGTTCTTCTATTTGTTAGAGAATGGTATGGTAATAAATTCTTCCCCACTGACCACAGTCTAGAGCAATTTCAGAAAATCTGGATAGCTAAATTTTTTTTAGGTATAGGAAATTAAAGATCCTCTCTGACTTTTATTATCCCAGTGGACCAAAACCAAACAAATAGAAACAAAACGAACAAAAAATAAAAATCAACTCCTTTCCCCCCATAGACAATGGCTGTTTTTTGAACACACACACACACACAACCCCACACACCCACACACACACCCACCCACCCACCACCACCACCATCCCCCCCCCCCCCATCAAATACACACGTAAAAATGCAGTTAATTCAATGGGGAATTATTTTTCTTTTCTTTTTTCTTTTTAAATTGTAGGTTATTCTCCTGTTCAGTTGATTAAGGAATTTTTTAATGAAAGTATATACTATATGTCTATCAGAATGTTTCCTTCGAACTCTGGGAAAATCATAGACAGTAACTTAAAGATGTTTTGGGCAAGAACCAATATATGGGCATTGCGTTAAAGTAGCCTTGGCATAATTTATCGTCTGACATCACAAATTAATGTACATTCAATAAGTGGATAATCAGAGACTCAAGTATTTGAACTTAAAATCCGTGCTATATCACACTGATTATATCAACATCCTTGCTATATCCACTGAAAATCTAAGTGCCATTATATACTGAGAATACAAACATGAACAAGATATGTTACTTTCTGGAGGGGTGTGTGTGTATGTATATGTGTACATTTGTTTATATATAGTGGGTAATTCCTTGTGGTAGTCATTCAACGCATATGCTCTGGAGATGTTAATCTGCTTTTCTCATGATTATTTCATAGTGCATGTATCTCCTTGGGTGGAGATGCTAGCATTTATATAATATTGGTATAATATAGCCATTAAATGCAAAATGTCATTCTCCAATATAGCACACCTTCCCTAGGAATTAATGAGTATATTTGACTACATGAGATTTTCATTTGCTAATTAAAAAACCTGTGACTGAACTATATACCTCTTTGGGCTGTGTCACAATTTTGTAGTCAATTGCTAGTTAAATAGTGGGTTTTTACTATTTATTAAATGGAATTACCTTTATGTCATTTTAAATGATTTAAGGTTAATAACCTACTTAACCAAGTCATGAGACGATACAGAGTAGGTGCTAAGAGTACGGATTATGGAGCCAGTCTGCCTGGGTTCAGATCTAGACTATGCTAGTTATTACCTGGGTGACAATTGCCTCTGTTTTTTTCAGCTGTAAAATGTAGATGATAATAGCTACTTCACTGTTGCATTTGGAATGTAGTAGGCACTATCAATTGTTAGTTATTAAAGCTCCATTTATCACTTTACTTACAATTCTGAAATTAAAGCAAAGCTACAAATTCTCAGTTTTTATGTAATTCACTTGACAGCAGAGCCTGACCTAATTAATGTCTTTGAAATATATAATGTTTTTGATTCTTATTTGACCTTAAGATATTTATGTTTAGTTTATAAAAGCCTATTTTCAGATACAGATATTTGTTATTATTGTTTTGTGATACTGGACAGTATAGTTGACAGTCTCATGAAATAAAAATAAACTTGGATATTTTATACTTAGTATTATCAAGTAGTTAATAACTAATGTTTTTATGCATAACATTTTTATATAAATTATAATTATGTATACAATATTTATTGAACGTTTACTGTGTGCCAGGTACTATACTGTGCATTTTATATCCATTATTTTCTTTATTCCAGTAGTAGGTGGAATTTAGGTAGGTAGAATTGATCCTATTTTTAATGTGCTGATGAGGCTTAGGGAGGTTGAGTAATTTGCCTAAGGTCACACAGTCACTTAATATGCTAACTGTGCTAGGAGTCAGACCTCATCTCTCTGATGTTTTGGTAACATTTGTGTTCTTTTCCTTCACCTACACTACTTCTATAATATAGAAAATTTTCATAAGGAAATAAAAATTACTGATATACTAAAGTATATTGTTACTTTGCTCTTTTTACTTTTCATCTTAGGTGCTGGAAAACCCCCTATGTTTGGTGATTATGAAGCTCAGAGACACTGGCAAGAAATTACTTTTAACTTACCGATCAAACAATGGTATGGACAGTTTTAACTTGATTTTATTGTTTATCATAGTTAATATAAATGATTTGAAGATATTTAAGAGGAAAATAATGCTAATATAAATGGTACTATAAAAATAATGTTCCTCATCTTCCTGTATACTGATGTCACATATATTACCTTTCATATTGTAGCCCCATTTTGAAATTTTTATACCCCTTAAGGTTACCCATATGCTCCGTTCCCAGCTGGAGGATGGTACCGAACTGGAACTTTGATGATAGAACACGATATGAAGCTCCTCTGGACATAAACTGTGGAAGTTTATGGGCTAAAAAATATTTCCTCTGGAGATTTTGCAAAATTTTTCTGTTAGGAATGTGTGACATGTATAAAGGGAGTAGCTGAGTGGCCTGCATTCAGATACTAGCTCCACTATTTATTTGCTAGCTATATGACCTTTGGAAAATTATTTAACTTTCTCTGCGTCAGTTTTATCATTCGTAGCTGAAAATAATAGAATACATATTTCAGTTGGTAATTGCGAGAATTGAATAAAATGGTACATGTAAAACACTTAAACCAGTGCCTGCAATGTAATGAGCTCTCCATGTTAGCTGTGTATATCTTCACAGATATTCATGCTTGTGTCATTTCTATTGAACATGTTCTGATAATAATTGATGACATTATTTATTGACTTTATTGGATGCCTAGTAGATTATTTTATTAGACACTGCCTATACAAAGTGCTCATAAGGTTCTGTTGATTGCTTTGGTCACTACTTTTGTGTAACTCCTTCATGAAAGTGTTTCATACAAGAACTTCATATTGGACCATCTATTAATAGGTTGGCTGTACCCTAGTCAGAGTTTGGAGTATTTAAAATAGAGGTCAGCTAAATATTTGGCACCAATCTTTATTGTTCTATTTTGAGCATCTTTCAGATCCTCAGATACCTATTTAACCAATGAGTATCACTGTTCAGATTATTAGAACATTCTTAATATTTTTGTCCTGCTTGATTGGTATAATAAGGTAATATTTGCTAAGGGAAACCAGACCACTGTTCTTGAGCTTAGTAATTCTTTTCTATTCTTTTGTAAATGTTACACAGATAAAATAATTATATTCTTGGCTGTTCTTTGGTAAACAGTTCTCAACAAAGATGTTAATAGAAATGAAACCTAATATTTAGTATTGAAAGATTAAATTGATAAATTGCAGCTTTTTGGCTTAGTGCTAGATTGAGATAACATTGATTCCAGGAGTGAGAATATAATCTTAATCCAGTAGAACAGATGAGTTACTCTTAATACTGATCTACCTCAATTTTCAGTTTTCTGCGCCAGTGGTCTCCTACTTTGGCCCAGATAACCAAGAATTGGCTATCTGTATGCATTCTTTTTCTTTATTAAAATCCAGAAATGTATAACTCAGAATAATTGTATATTAGGTTTTTACTATGGTCTGTGAATTTTTAAAAATTATGAAATGTCTGAAGTAATCTTGGTGGTAAGTTTCATAGTGTTCTAGTCTTTATCGAGGTTGTGTAGCATGAGAATTCTGAATGGTGGGCTCAGAAACAGACATTTGTATAAAGAAATATGACTTATCAGTTGATTATGCAGTACTTCAGGAAGCTCATAGGAAACTTAAATATGATTTGCTATAATAAATGTCAGAAAATTTTTATAAGTGGATAGACTAGAAAAAAACAAAAATGAACACTTGGCAATTATAAGATAAACCAATCTGTTTCAGATTCATGTTGAAATAGTGTGACTTTTTTTCTTTCTAGTTTGAAATTCAGTTTATTTGATATATGATTCATAATGAACATCATTGAAAAAGATACATTACAATGGCACCATTTATAAAATAGAAAATATATACCTGGAATAGGTTTGCCATTATCAATACTGGATATAAATCTATATAGGAAGTAATATTTCTAATATTTGGAATTTTTTGGCTAATTTTGTCAAATCTTTTTAATTTGCCATTATTGTTACTTAGTAATGTGTCTGAGGAATTATTTATTTTTTAGCTTCAATTTTCCAAGAGTAAAGTCTTTCTGTCTTCATCTAGAAAGTTAGCTATAATATAATTAGTCAAAACTCTTTTAAGTGACATAGTTGTCTAAATATGAAATCAGGATAGATCAGATTAACTTAAAAAAATCTCAGTTTTATAATTCTAAATTGAAAGAAAACTTATTCTATTTAAATATATATAGTTGTAAGTAAGAGGAAAATTGATTTTTTTTCTTTAATTTTATAATGAACATTTCTAATGTGCGAAGTCAGGAATACTTTCTACATCGAGTAATAAAAAACTGAGTAATAATAGCTTGAGAAATAAAATAATTCCATTATCTTAAGAAGCAGGGCTGATAAAGTGGCTCAATGATAGCAATCAAGGACTTAGGCTTTTTCCTTTTTTTCCTCTTCCATTCTTTCTTCTTGGCATGTTGGCTTTTCATCCTGGGGCTTTTCCCCCTCTTGTCAGTAGATGACTGCCAGGGCTACAGCATTCTAACTTTATACAACCATATTCAAGGCAGGTATAACAAGAATACCTTCTCTTTACCTCTTTCTGAGGAGTAAAATCATTCCCATTCTTCAAGCACTCATTAGTGAAAAGAAACACCTGGCTCACTGCAGACATGGTTTGTGCCTGGGACTAGGGGAAGAGTCCATCTACCCTGAGCATGTTGCTTTTTAAACAAAATCACAGTTTTGTAAGTCAAGAAGAATTGTGGGAATGGCGGTTTATTTCAGCATTGTTTATAATAATGAGAAACTTGAAACACTCTAAATGTTTCTTAGTAGGGGAATGATTAAATAAAGTATATTTCCCTTGTGCACATGTGTACATGTATAAAATAAATATTTTCTTCCTGTCTGTTCTTGTCTTTAAATTTTTCTTATAGTGTCCTTTGTCATACAGATTTTACTGTTTGATGTACAGAAGTTCTTTGGACTATTCTTGATACTTTTCTATAAGTTTGGGGACTATTTCAAATGAAAAAATATATTTTTTAAAAAAGCAAAAATACCTATGACTCTGGCTTGTATGTGAAAAAATTACATTTTGAAGTTAATGATCACATGAATTTAATTTCATAATTTGTGTGGCAGCCAAATTTTTTTCCTGACAAAACCTTTACTGAGATGACATGAGAATTCAGTGGAAAAATACATTTCAGTGCTATATAAAGAACTTTTCAGGTATATCTAAAAAATACAAAGCAGGAGAATTACTTGTTGCTTTGTTTCTACTGGTAGATTTTGAAGCTTTATTTGAAACACTTTTAAGTATCTTTTTCCCATGAATTTCTTATTTATGCTTTTCCATAAGAATAAGGAACACAGCTGTTAGCCCTGTTATTTTTTTTGTCACAGTCCAACCAGTGACTTTACCGTTAATATATATCTTGCACGCTTATGGCTTACTGTCAACGCCTCTTTTACTATTTCCAGTGAATCTCAAAGTTAAAGTAAATGCAAAATAGTTTTTGCCTTATCAGAAGCTGAAAACCAAATCGAATTGTATTGGACAAAATGTGATTCTTGAATTATTAAATGGTTTTTTAGTGCTGTATCCATCCCAATAGTTTTGATGTTAATCAATTAGAACTACTATTTTGCACTTACTTTGTGTCAGGCAGTATCTTAATAGTTTTACATGTTTAATTCAATCCTTCAACAACTCTATGAAGTAGATATTATAAAACTTTATGCCAGTGCACCCTGTAGTAACATGAATTTGGAAATAACACAATTGGTACCTGTCTTCAGGCAACCCTGCCTAGAGAAGTAGGTCCTCTGGTCTCCACTATTAGCCTGGCCAAATTTCCCAGATTCAAGCTGTCAAAAGGGGCTCCAGCTAACCTGGAGATTCTTAGATTCACTGCCTATTGGCTTCAAGTCCCAGGCAGATATAAGATCCTGGATTATTCACATGCATGTTGCTGTTGGAGTGGACAACTGCCACCATATACTATCATATGATGGTACCCTGTGTCCAGATCTTGTGGTATGCCTCAATCATTTAATTAGTTCCAGTCCCCTCTATACAACATACATTTTATGTGACTAACATTAAGAAAATAAATGTGTATAATAGATTTGGGATCATGATGAATGCTAACTTAAAAACTTTTTAAAATCCCAAAGTAAGAGATTGTGATGCTGTGAAATTGTTACTCATTAGAAAAAGGCTTATGAACAGTGGTTATTTGTGACTTATAAAGTTTGGTCTCCATTATTGTAAATTCTTATGACTGTGAAAATAAATTGGATAGAAGAAGCTGACTAATTGTAAAAGATGTAATTTAGAAACCTGTTTACATAAATTTAATTTTCATTTGTTGAGTCATAGTAATTGTATATAGTTTCCTCCCATTCTGGCCAACTGGAGGAGCCAGTTTATGAATATTTGATCTAATTTTCTTCCTTAATTCACAGAATCTTGCAAAGGATAGGCTCTCATTACATGTTGGTTGACTTGTTTTCAAAGTCTTATTAAAAATCTACCTGTTTCATGAGATATTTCTCTTTCCATAAACCAAATCTTTATGTGTTCTTTGATATTTATTTTTTTACATTTTAAGATTGTGATTTCATATTGTTTCTCTAATTTGTTAGATATCAGAAGCAAATTGTCTTTTTTGTTGAGTATTTTCTTTTGTATAAGTGTTAGTCATCAATTAAGTCTACTAATAGCAGAGTGATAATAAGTTGCTGTTTGCCTAGAACAATCTTGGTTTGCATCTGTTGTTATGGTTTAATTGTTATTATTTTTGTGTGTGAAAGCAGTTTTTAATTAAATTTATTGGAGCCACATTGGTTAATAAAATTACATAGATTTCAAGTGTACAATTCGGTAATACATCCTATGTATATTGCATTGTATGCTCACCACCTAAAGTTAAATTTTTTTCCATCACCATAATTGGATCCCCTTCACCCTCTTCTACCCCTTGGTAGCCACTAATTATTAATAGCTTCCTCTTTCACTCTCAAAAATACCTTGGTTTAGACAATAAATTATTTAGTATTCTATTATACGATAACAACTTTTAATTGTGAGTTCATAAAAATTTTTAGAAAGAGAAAAGACAAAAACTTTAGTTGAATTTTTTAACTTACCTAACGTATTTCTCATTTTAATTAAACTAGATGAGATGTTAAATATAAGTCTATTTCCTGAATATTGATTAATGGAATGCTGTGTTTTTCTTTCTTTCTTTTTTTCCCCCAGGTATTTTAACACCAGTGATAACAATTTACTGTATTGGGGATTGGATTATCCACCTCTTACAGCTTATCATAGTCTTTTGTGTGCATATGTGTAAGTTTTTCTTCCTTAATGTAACTAAATATTTTTGTCCTTAGCAGATATAGTAAGAAACAGCGTGACCTGGCTTTGTTGAATAGCGGAGATTGTAGCTGCTATTGTATTATGGTTTGCAAAGAAAGCACTATACCTTTACAGTCGGGTTATAAGAAAGTTTACTATCAGAGTTTGAACATTTCCATAATTCCTTCAGAGGATAGGCTAGAAAGAAACACAAAAATTTAGCTTTTTTTTGAAGCAGAGTTGCTACCAATTACTCCTGGATGACTGAGAAATATATCTAATATGGTTACTTGTGCATAGGAAAGCTTTTTTCTGGAATGATGCAAAGTAAATAAAAAATATAGGTCCAAATGGTATTCTGACTACCCTGTCAAGTTAGAAACTAGAATTACTGTAGTGTTTCACTTATGATTTAAGATCGGGATTGGAATTCCTTCTTTTACACAAATGGAATGGTTTATAGAATATTAGGAACTTCTATGTGGTGAAGACCCAATTCTGCTCTGTAGTGGTATTTCATTTCAAACTTGGAGTCAGCAGAAATTTGAGGAACTCTTCACAGTATCTTCCAAACTCATTTGTTTTACTATTTTATATTTTTTAAAAATTAGCTTCCTGGATTAAAAATGTGTTCCCAAGCTCTATGATAATCAGTTATCCTTTGCAGTGTTCTGGGTAATGTAATGTGATCGAAAACTTAATTTATCTTGAACAATTATGTTTAGTTTGATGCAGTGATTTATGATTAATAGCTATTTATTATAGCCGATTGCTATGATAACTGAAAAGACTGTAAATTATAAAACATGATCCTCTGGTTAATGCTAGCATATTGTTCTTTATAAAATATGTGTTTAATAAATGAAATGTGATACATCAAATTGTTTCTACACTGGAAGAATTGTGAAGATAGGTATCTTAGTAACATATTACATGATTTTGTTGAAGATGAGCAAGACAGACTCTTTTATAGCTTAAGTCAGTTTCACATGATTAAATAAAAAGACGAAAGCTTAAGCCTTGACTCTATTGCTTTAAAAGAGCAATGGCCACTTCTCAAAATAGATTCATATGTCCTCAGATGTCCTTACTACTAAAAGTGATGGGGAATAAAGCATGTATGTATGCTTTGATTTGCAGGGCAAAGTTTATAAATCCAGACTGGATCGCTCTCCATACATCACGTGGATACGAGAGTCAGGCACATAAGCTGTTCATGCGTACAACAGGTAAAAGAACAATAGGTATGGAGTGCAAAATTGGATTTAAAAAATTTTTTGAACAACCCATTGAAAGAGTCTATTATTGTTCCTACTGACTTTTCAAATTGTACAATTATATGTATGTATATATGTAGAATCTATAACCAAAATGTATTTATAAACTAAAAAAGAATAGAAAGGAATAATTCTGGGTGCTTTATATTTATTATAATAAATAATAAATAATTTGAATACCTAAATGAGGTAAATACTATTATTATCCTTATTTTAAGCTGAGGAAACTGAGGCACAGATATGTGAGGTAAACTGCTCACCTGAGGTCAGATAGCTATAAATTGAGCTTTTAGTTGTTCAGACTGTTGTTTTAATGTACTAATTACAAATCTCTTTCACTTTTTTCTTAAAGTAAACTTTACAGTTGTATCTCATTCATTGTATTGCTGTGCCTTGCTGCTAAATTAAATAATCCACTCAACAAATGTTTATTGAGCATTTATTGTGTGATGATCTAAGAACTGAAAGTAATAAGCTTAGACTTCATTAAAACTTTACATGACTTAGACTTTAATGCTAACCTGGGCCTTTTCCTTAATTAGTATAAATTTAGTAGAGTTTGTTCTTTTCATTATTTATCCAGTCATGGAACCTTAGGCCCAAGAGATTATCTTGCCTGTCTTCCCCCTAGTCTCTCTGAACTGTATACTCACCACATTTTTAGCTTCTGAACCAATACCTGTATCTGCAGGGAACTCACAGTCTTTAGAGACAGTCTATTCTATTTTTGGAGAGCCCCAATCATTAAAAATTTCCTCCTTATGTTAAACCTCCACTAGTTATTTTAGGTTCTGTTTCCTTGGGCTGCATAGAACAAATCTGATCCTTTATATGCCTGCTATCCTACAGGCATTTGAAGTCACCTCTTCCCCAGGTTAATAGCTCTAAATGTCTAAGTATTAACATTCTTAGATACTTTAGCTATTTCTTAGATGATCAATTTGTTGAATGTGATTATGATTTTGAGGCCTCTGGGTGTGCTCCTTTGAATATGCTTCAGTTTGTCAGTGTCATCTTAAATGTGGCATCTGGAGCTGAAAATAGATTGCATGCATCTAACACTGACAGTTTACTATCATTTACCTTCTTCTGGACACTAGTGTAGTACAAGAAAAAATAGGCTCTTTGGATAGCTATGTTATACTGAAGAACTTAATTTAATATACAGTATTTGTTTTTCTCTGTTCTCAAAGGTTCGAACATTTAGAATCACGAATTGGTTTTTTTTAACTTTTTTCAGTTTCCTCCTCACTTGTGTCTCTCAAGTTCTTTATATGCATTAATTAGCAAAAGTTTATATAAAAATAAATATAAACATTTAAAAAGTAAGTTATCTTCCCTTGCTTTGAGTATTCTTAACTTTTAAGTCCAAGTCAAATTAAAGAGAGAATTAATTTTGAATACATCTAATTGATTTAATGTGTGAATTTGTTAGAGAATATTAAGAAAAGGGACTCTGTCCTACGGTATCAATTGAAATTTGGCAGAGGTGAAGGGAATGGAAAGGGCTCACATGTAAAGGACTTGCCCAGAGCGGATAGGAACCTTGTGTTAATAGAGTTCTCACTCAAGGCTGAGGAAGAGAGGCAGTTAATAGGTTATTGTAGATCCCGAAGGTTTCACACTTAAAATCATTTGCCTGTTTTTTCAGTGTTAGTTGCTGATTTGCTGATTTACATACCTGCAGTGGTTGTGTACTGTTATTGTTTAAAAGACATGTCAACTAAGAAAAAGGTAAGTTTTAAGCAACCTGACATTTCATCTCTGAAATGTTTCATTAGCTTAACTATTAAGCATAGAACTTAAGGAAGCCATGTTTTTTAGGAATAGATGATAATAGGGAACAATATATCTCTGTCAGTTAGTTTCATTGAGAAAAAAACTTATCGTAATTATTTTAATGCCCAACTGTATAATAAGATGCACTGAATTTTAGAAGTTATGTACTGACAAATTACACAGCATGTTGAATTTATTGCTTAACTAGTAAGTATGAATTTCGAGTTGGCTTGTGAGAATGACTAAACTGAAAGGCATTTTAAAAAGTTGCTATATATATTCATAGTCACAGTTAAATAATCTTTTAGGGTGATTTTATATAAGTTAATCATTTGATTAACTTCTGTAATTTGTACATCTAGAAGTACTTTCTCTGACAAATACCTTTTAGTGATTGTTTTCCTCTTTAGCGAAGTATCCTATGTCACCTCCCTGAAAACTTTAGTGTTTTAAGAGTTGTTTTATAAAAATGGAATTTTTTGAAAAATAGAAGGGAAGAGGGGAACATTTATTATGGTGTTAAATGAAACTACACTTTTACCCTGATTGACCGAAGTAACAGATTGCTATCTTATTTCACAATTTTTTTCTTTACAGATTGCTAATGTATTATGCATATTGCTATATCCAGGCCTTATTCTGATCGACTATGGACATTTTCAGTATCCTTTACTAATTTAGAAATGACGTCAAATGCATCTTATAAAATCTAGGCTCAGTTTGTATAATGCTATCATCCAGTAATCTCTTATTTACTAGGGTACTTGCTTATATAAAATATTTTCACAATGATATATAAGAATTTCTTCACCAAGCTTTTACTTGAAGGTTGAAGTATAGATTTATTAAAAGTAGAATTGCTTTTTCACACCTGTTTGGTTTGATAACTGCTTGGCTCTTCTGGAGAGTTGGAAAAAGAGTGCCAGATATGATTATGCTCTTCTAATTTGAAAAAGGTGTAACATACCTTCTATCTTTTGTAAGTGTTATCTGACACTGACAAAAGAAAAACAATCTTATAATTTTTTGAGTCTTAAAACAAGATGTTTAACAGATAGTGGTAGCTGGAAGCTTCAGGAAACTGAAACTGAATAATTAAAATTTACTGTGTAGATTTTGTGTGTGTAATGTTTGATCCCTAAAGTAAGGAACATTCAAATAAACAAACAAATCTTAGAGGAAAGTTGATAAAATCTTTACAAAGCTCTCCAGTTTGTCTTCTAATATATTAAATGTTACTTACCATCTGTCTCCATCTGTCCCAAAGGAAAAAAAAGACATAATTCACAGCAACATGATTGCTTAATTGCTTTTCCTTTTGATGCCAATCTATTTAAATTATAATAAAATTAATATGTGCAAAAGATATTCAAATCTATAGTTTTTATCATATTTTTTTCTATCCACTTTCCTAATTGAGCTCTTTTTTATTTTATGTTTTGGCATTGTGAAATCAGGGCTATCTGATACTCTGATATTATCAAAAAACACTGTATGAAGAAATGGAAAAAAGATGTTGATTTTAAAAACTATTTTCTTTGAAGTATAACAGCCACACAGAAAAGTGCACAAAATGTAAATGTGCAGCTCAGTGAATTGGCAAACTATTACCCGTGTCAAGAAATAGAACATTCATAGCCAGTATCCAAAACTATACCTGTACACTGCTCAAGTATTTCTCCCTCCTCTTTTCCCATACTAACTGCTAATACCATACTTGCATTTCCCCGCTTTTTTGAACTTTACATAAGAGGGACATATATAAATACTTTTTCGTTTTGTGCTTTGGTTCAACATTCTGTTTGTGAGAGTTACCCGTGTATTTGTATGTAGCTGCAGTTTGTTCACTTAACATTGTTTACAGTGTTCCATTGCACGAATACATGAAACTCCATTACTGATAGACATTTGGATTGCTTCAGGTTTAGGCTATGATGAATATGCTGCTATAAACATTCTTGTAAATGTCTCTTTGTACACATATATATTTCTTATGAGCGGAATTGCTGAGTTATAGAGTGTGCACATGTTTAATTTTAGATATTCCCAGATGGTTTTTATAATGCTCCCTTTAGCAGTAGTGTAAAAGTTCTAGGTGCTCATCTTCACCAGTTGTCAGTCACTTTATTTTAACCTTGTGGTAAATTGGTCGTGGTATCTCCTCTGTGATTTGAATCAAATTCTTGAAGTTTGGGGGATTATGTCGTTTATGGGGACTCATTTTTTTAATCACTTTGTACTTTATTTTTCTCATTTGTAAAAAAAGGGATACTAATAACCTTTACTTTGTAAACTTTTTGAGAATGAAGCGAATTAATATTTGTAAAGCATTTAAAGAAGTACCTGGGAGATACTAAGCACTATAGAAGTATTTATTGCAATTATTATCTGTTGTTACTGCTGCTGCTGCTGCTGCTGCTGCTGCTATTACTACTTTTTACTTTTTGGGCTCTGAAATTTTACAGCGGTTTGTTTAGGTTATAGATGTTTTTGACAGTTGTTTTGGACACTATGGGTAATTCATTTTGAAGTTTCAAATTCTTCAGTTCTGGGAAATTCTCATATCTTTGATAATTTTCTCACTTTTTTCTTGAGCTTAAATTAGACAGGCAGATCTTTCATCTCCATCGTGAGCATCTCTTGTCTTTTTATGGTTTGGAAGAACATCTTGACTTTATTGCTAACACTTCTATTAAATCTCATTATCTTAGATTTCAGTTCACTCTTTTTTTTTTTTATTGTTTTCTGAAGTTTTCCATTCTTCTAGGGTCAATTTTTTCCCCTTTTCATTTTGGTCCTTTTCCTATCTTAGGTTTTTCTTCCATGTCTATTTAATCCTAATGTATCTATTCTTATTTAAAAATAAGGCAGAAGAAAAAACTCACGTGAGGTCTTTATTTATTTGGCCCACTGTAGGGTAAGTGAGCAAGAAGCTGACCTGTACACTTTGGGATCCTTAAATTTCAGAATGTAGAGGGCTTTGCACTATAGTGTTAACTTCTACAGTAGCTGCCCCAAATAGTTTATTTCATTTCTTTGGAGAAATATTCCTTCTTTTGCTGCCTGGGGAGGGATAGGTGGTAAATGTTTTGGCTGCCAGATCTTTGCACAGGAGTGAGATGGAATCTAGGCATTTTCAGTTTATCTTCTTGTTTTCTTCTCAACATACTACTCAAGCCATCTAACCTACTTGATGTTACCAGAGTTCTCTAGGGGCTTGTAAGGTAGATTGGCTCCTTGCTCGCCTAGGCTTCTTCTGTGTATTCTCTAAGCTGTGGCTTCTTCCATCCTCTTTTATTTGTAACTACTTTTCTGTCCTCTTTCTGTCTTCTAGAAATGTGTTGAAACTTTTATCTATTGTAATCTATCTTCCTGTTCTCTTTATGGCTGTGGATTTATATTTTTAACAATTCCCTATCATTTTAAGGGGTCTCAGGATGGAGAGGAGGTAAACGTAAGTGCTCAGCTCACCATTTTGAACTGAAAATTTAATCGCAATTTTTTTAATAACAATATTGTTTCTAATCAAGTACACATATTTATACTGATGCATATTATAGATGAAGTTTTGTGTTTTTCTTTAACTTTAGAAGCATTGTTTTATTCTCTAGATTTTGGTATGTTGTTATAGTAATACTATGAAATAGTCTAGCAGAAACAAAGATGTGTGTTACCTACTCAGAACTCTTTTAAACCTGAACAAATCAGTTGCTCTGTTTAACAGTAGATTTAATATATTTGAGGCCATTATAGATAATTTGAAATGTTTATTACTTCAGTACTTTCATTTTTATTTAGAAATAGCTTTCATTGTATATATTATTTTTAAATTGTATAAGAAATACACTCTACAAAATGCAAAATCTGTGTCCTTTTAATAATTGAGATAATTTCCTTGACACAAGAACATATATAATTCTGTGAGTCTTGGCTTTGCTTTGTGGGGTGTTCTTGGGGTGTCTTATGATTGGGACCTTCTAGGGTCACTGGCATTTTGCTTAGCTATAAATTATAAACAGATGGAACTTTACCACTCCTTGCCATTTTTTTGCTTTTTACTTGGCAAGTGTTTTAAAAAAGGCCTCACAGGAAAGGGGTGAGTGGCTTTTAAACACTGGGATTTAAAAAAAATTAGAGAACTTATTTGGCATACTTACCCAGAGGAAGGTGGTCTTCCACTTTGCCTTTTGGTGATTTCTTTTTAATGGGTTGCCTGTGGTATGAGTGGGAAGAGAGATTGTCATGTTCTATATTAATTTATTTTAAATCTTCATAATTAGAAAAATATTTTGAACAATGTACATTTACTGGAGGTTGGCTTTTTATAACATTATTGTAGGATTTCATCCTTCAAGAGCATATTACATTATATACTTAGAAATAATCCCAATTTGACATTTTTTTTTCATGGCTACATGGGAATGACATCTAAATTAAATGTTAATTAGTGTAGTGATAGTCTTTTCATTGGAGAAGTGCACATCTTAATGGTTGTGAATTTTTTAACTCTGATTTGAATAGACTCCCATCTTAAATCTATATTGGTGGCATAGATTTATCATTATTTTACATTTGCATTAATTATATTTAATGAGACTCAGATTGATTTCTCAGAATTATTAACCTCTCCCTGTCTTACTGGTTACATTTTTGTTCTAGGTTAGTGTTGTTAATTAAGCTGGCTTGTACTGTCGTGGCTTCCTTCATTTTCTGCTGGCTGCCATTCTTTACAGAAAGTGAACAAACCCTGCAAGTTCTAAGAAGACTCTTCCCAGTTGATCGTGGATTATTTGAGGCATGTTTAAAAACTCTTACTCCTTTCTGTTATAATACCTTTCCTGTGACCTCTGGCGATTTCCTGTAGAAGACTCACAAAGAATAGAAACTTCAGCTGCTCTCCTCTTGCAGTCATTCCTTGCCAATTATTTAATCCAGTATATAATCTCTTGCTCAGCTGGCATTTTCTACTACATTACATGCATAGATAATATTTATTTCATCATGAGATCTATAATTCAGTTATACATTTTTCTAAAGAAATAGGGTCCATAATGAAGGCATGAGAAGTTGCAGCCACAAAGTTAACAGCTCTGTAATTTTTTCGGTTTAAATTCTCTTTTTAGTCTTATGAAATTATTTATTAAACTAATAATCATGTTTGCGAGAAAGATCTCATAATTCCTTATGAGATATATAACCTTCATCCATAGTAATTTTTAATGAGAATCTTTCATTTCATTTAATGAGAGCTTAATCACTCTTGTTAAACTTTTATTATAATTTAGTGATTTAGATTTAGTAATTAAATTAAACAAACCATTTTTCTGAAACAAAAAGGCCATTTAATAAAGTTAGACAAGGACAACATATTTATAGATAATTTGCTTTTGAATAAACATTTTTTTTAAAAAAAGAATTATAAAAGCATATCTATCTTTCTAATTTTTGAATATATAAATTGCTAAAGAATATTTTTCAATGGATCTATAAGGAGATAGAACCAGCATTTTGAAAGAGACTAAGAGAATTTGGTGTTGTGAAGGAACAGGCATGTGACTTGTATGTCGATGGAGATGCTGCTGATACCGATAATCATAAATAATCACTATTATCACCACCACTTACTAGGTGCCAGATACCTCACATGTGATTTTATTTGATCCTTATAATACCTCTGAGGTAGCTATTGTACTCATTTTAGAGATCAGAAAACTGAGGTCATATAGCTAGTTCGTGGCAGAGCTATGATTTGAACTTTGAACATTGTGCTTCTAACTTCTTTATATTTCCTCTGACTTTAATTCCCATTTGCCCTGAGAATACTTGTGGGTGGCACTTGAGGCTGTAGCGTTTACCCTGAGATAACTCACAGATTATAGTCCTAACCTTACTCCTAAATTTTGCCATGAAATATCTCACTTTAATTATTATTTTCTAATTGCTCTCGTATATCGATGGTCTTTGGAAAGAAATGACATCATTCTGTTGATAGCATTCTGTTTTTAGTAGTGGTATTTCCGTTTACAAAATAAAGTAATTCTCAATCACTGAAAATGTCAAATCCTAGAAAATGTAGCATTCCTACGTGTGATGTTAAATGAACACTGGCAGCGAGTTGCACTTTTTTTTTTCTAAATGGGAAAAGGGATAACACTTATCTAAAGAAAAGTTTAATTCTCTATGTAAGCTGCTTGGTTATTTGCCTTATCTTCCATTTCAGAAATGGAATTTATCATGAAAATAATAAAAAATTATCAAACATGTTTAATGGGATTGCTGGTCACCTCCATTCACTTGTCCTCAAAATCCGAAGAGCATTTTCTTTGATCTGACAGAGAGAAGTAGGATGGCACAGCTGTCAGTGATAGTTACTTTCTTGATGTTATACCTTCACAGCTGTGTGTTAAGCAGCTATGCGGAGGATGGTTTCACAAGCAGAGTGCTGTACTTAGAAATTTAATTTTGAAAGTGATCCTAGCATAACTGCTAATGTCTTTAAACTCCTTGATTGATTAGCAATTAATTCTTGTCATTGGTGGTAGCTAGAAGGTTACTCTAGATCATTTCAGGTGTGTGATATGTGTTCAACAAATTAGGAAAATAGAAGACTTCTAGAAAAATTTCCAAAGATGAATAACCTCATTATTTAAGGATAGTGTGCTGTTCTTTGAAAAATATTAAATATCTTTTGGGAATGTCTAGATTATGACTGGCTAGTGATTTAGATTAACTCCCATTACAAAACAACAAAAACAAAAACGCTTGTGCATATGTTTGTATATGCATTATTTGGAGAGTTTGATCAACTTAGTTATAAAATTGTGAACAAAAACTTCACGTTTCAAAAGTTTATTTAGAGATTATGGGCTGGACTTTGTAGAGTTTAATATTTCTTTCAATTATATCAGAATATAAAACTAATAAATCTCTTTTAAGGATAAAGTAGCCAATATTTGGTGCAGCCTCAGTGTCTTTCTGAAGATAAAGGATATTTTGCCACGTCACATCCAGATAATAATCAGGTAAGAGACACAAAAGTTTGCATATAGTGTTTTATAATCTCTTTTCTCTGAAAGTATTACAGTAATATCTCATTTACCTGGCACCATTAGGAAATGAGGGATTCTTCATTAATGAATTTTCCACATAATGTAAAAATACCCCTACATTTTACAAAACTCTTTTATTTGAAATATTTCCTGTGAAAATCTTCCTGCATCGTTACCTAATTCTCTCCTCCTTAAGCAGAGAATATGCTAAATATGATTTAACATTATTTTGAAGAGTTGTGAGTTTTAGTGGTCTATCAGTCAGGGTTCAACTAGAGAAGAAGAAGGAATAGGAGATCAGTGTGTGTGTAGAAATTTGTTATGTGGAATTGGCATACACAGTTGTGGGGACTGGCTAAGCAAACTGGAAGTCCACAAGGCAGGCATTCAGGAAGGAATATTTAGGAGGAATGAAGAGCGATTCAGACCCAGCTGCTGTTAAGAATATCTGAGCTTAGGGATGGCCTAAGCCTTCTTTGAAAGGGTTCTAACTCATTAAGTCAGGCCCACCCAAGTCTGTGTTCCTTTAGATTAATTTAAGACCAACTATTGAATAGGGACTTTTGTTAGATCTGCATAATCTCTTTCCAGCAGCACCAAGATTCGTGTTTGAATAACTGGGAGGTGTGTGTGCATGCTACAAAATGGGTGCTGCCTCCCTCTGCCCTCCAGTTCTTTCACGAAAAATATCCCCCGTGGCCCACTGTGACAAGGAACTGTAGTTCAGCCTAGCCAAGTTGACACACCACGAGTGGGAAAGTCAGTTATCGTATTGCATTTATAATACTTGTTTTCAGGGCTTTCAAAGGCCGTTTGCGGTGGTACTAAAGGGCTCCAAATGGCTCTGCTTGTTATTTTTCCTTCCTGCCCATCAGCCATCACCAGGAAAAGCTCTAGCAGCTTCCTGGTTCATTTCTAACTTGCTTTTTAGTTTACCATGGGCTCGAAAATCAGATAATCAACTTTTGCAAAATGAGGGCCAGAGAGGTTCTTTTATGAGTACATTTTATGAGTGTTTCTGTTACAAATATAGCAATGTCTCTTTATACCTGGTGGTTTTCTTATTTTGAGTGTTTGATAATTAACTTTTAGCTATCTATTTTTATATCTTTTCTGTCAGTGATATCCTTATTTACTAAATAGTAGAATAACAAGCAATATTTAGTACTATGTTTTGTTTTATATTATATAATCATTAAAGAGTATACATATTTCAATGCATGGATTTTATTTAAATGTTAGTTGGTCTTAAATTTAAAAAATAAAAATAAACTTTAATTTGAAATCAGCTTAAGTTGTTAAGTAATGTGATCCTTATAGTTTAAAAAATGTCTTTAATTTAGCTATATACCTTTGCAAAGAAAACAAATATTTTATCTTTATTCATTTTTTAGCTTTTGTTTTACATTTTTGAGCCTGCTTCCTACATGTATAAAATTAATACTTCAGCCTTCTCCCAAAGCATTCAGATTTACTCTGGTAAGTCTCTCATTACTTTAGATACTTAATTCTTGGTGCAGCTAATCTTTTAAAAATAGAGATAATTATTTTCTTGTTCTGAACAGGATTTATTGGATTCAGAAATAAGACATTCATTAATTTGGTGAACATTTATTAAGTGTCTGACTGACTTAGGTGATGTGTTGGGCACTAGGCTGAGCAATCAGAATCTTTCAATTTATTTCAACAACTATTTAGTTCTGCTTTGTATTAGTCAATGAGGGAATACAAAGAAGAAAACAGTGGTAATAGACCCATGCTTAAATAATTATGTAGTAAAGCAGATGGTATTAAGTTCTATCAGGTACAAATTAGGTGCTGTGATAGTGTGGGAAAAGGAAATATTACTTGGGGGTCAGATGTTAGACAGCTTCTTAGAGCAAGTGGGACTGGAGTCATATTTTGAAAGCTGAGCAAGATTTGGAATAGGTTAGATAGCAGAAGAGAATTCAAGCAGGAAGAGCCTGAAGGGCTTGAAGGTACAGAAGTAGGAAAGGATAGGGAATGCTTTGGGAATAGCTACTAATCAGTGAAATCTGTGTGACTTCGTGTGTATGTGTGTGTGTGTTTTGAGGAGATACAGTGAGAGATGAGTTAAAAAGGATCAAATTGTATAAGAGCTTGAGTGTCAGGTTGAACAAGGTGGAATTTGATTTGTGTGCAAGAGGAGCCAAAGACTTTTGAGAAGGAGAAGGGACAGATCTCTGTTTTAGGAAGATGACTGGTGTCAGTTTGAAGATGGATTTGTTTCTGTTTCCTACTATTTAAGGTTTCACTGAGTGGGTTTATAAATTCCTCCTGGTGGTATTTCAGTGGTACTTAAAATTTTGTTCTTGGGTGTCTTCACCTATAAAATGACATTTAAAAGATATTTTTTAATATGTCAAGAAAATTTAGTTTACAAAAACAGTAAGTCAGTGGACTTTATAAGGGGACATTTTAGAAATTAGGGTTTCAATTCTGGGATTGATACTTATTTACATTGCATTCTAAAAACAGCCTAGAGCATAGCATAATAATAAAATATTCAAAAGTGTATATCATTACCACAGTGCAAAAAAGATAGTTTAATGTGCTTGTTTTCTTTTTATTGATGATTTCTGTTGTTTCATTCTGTGAATGAACTCTGAGCATACTAAGTCATCTATGGTTAATATTCCATAGGACTTTTAGAACGGGAGGAATATGATTAGTAATGCTCTGATGTCTTCAGTAGGTCTAACTTGAAATATTTGCAAACTTATGTAAGATTATGTTATTTTTCTAGGAAGTGGCATGTTAAATAAAGGTATATTTAAAAGGTAATGGAATGGAATTTCAGAGTTTGAGTAACTGTAGCAGTGCTAGAGATGATTACTTTTAGGATTATAAGCCAGAAAACATTTTATTTCTCTGAATTTCCTAATTTTATTCTGTTTGCTATGTTTTAATATAAGCCACTGTGTTTAAAAACTAAAAAAGACTTAATGACTTTTCTTATTTTTTTGTTGTTGATATTTTCAATTCTTATTGAACACTTCTGAGAGCTTTAAAAACATTTCCCATTATAACTATTTTAAAGTGTTTTCCTTTCAATGAAGATTGAATTATTCTCAATTCAATTCTCAATATAAGTCTATAATTGAGGTAATTGATAGTATGAATACTAATTTAACTATTGCAGCAAAATAATTTATATTTATTCAAGTAATATTTATTGAGTACTCTCTAATGTGCCAGGTCCTTTTCTAGGTACTGGCATGTAAGTGAATGACAGTTAACTTCCCTGCTTTCTTAACTGGGGCCTTTCATGCTAGTGGCAGAAATACAATAAACAAAATAAATCAGTTAACAAAATATCTGGGAGTAGAGGGCTATGAAGAAAACAGTGTTACATGAAAAGACTGCTGATGGGGTTTGGTTGGGGAGCACTACTTTAGATTGAATAAGGGCAGGCCTTTCTAGGGAAGTAACATTTGAGCCTAGAACTGAATGGCCTATGAGAAAGAGCCAATCACAAGATCTGGGCTCTGACTTGATAAAAGCAAAGTTTTCCTTAAGGCAGGAACACATTTGACATGTCTGAGGCATAAAGGGACAAGTATAAAGTGGCTAGTGTAAAGTGAGTGAGAGACACAGTAATAGACTGGAAGAAGCAGGCAGGACCCAGATAACGTAAGAGTTTGGATTTTATTCTAAGTAATAGGAAGCTATTGGAGGAATTTAAACAGGGTAATTTACACAATCTGACATGGTAGCTGAGTGGAGAATGGACTGTAAGATGTTAAGAGTGTTACCAGTTAAGCGGTTACTGCAGTAGTCCAAGAGGAAGATAGGGGTGGCTTAGACCACCCTTCTACCACCATCAGCAGAGGAGAATGGAGAGAAGCGGGTGCATATTGTATTTAGGAGGTGGTGTAGATAGGATTTGCTGATGGATTGAATGTATAGCATGTATAAGGTACTGATCCAGGATTTTGCTTGAACTAGATTGGATATGTATAGATAGAGCTCTCATACACAGAATATAAACTTCTGAAAATAAATTTAAGTAACTTTTATTTAAAACCCCAAATAGCACATTACTTTATAAAATATTTAATATATTTTATTGAAGTGCACATTTTAAAAACACCGAAATATTTGTTTTGCCAATTTTAGATTTTGACCTTGTCCTTCATGCTTTTTAATTTAAATTGTCAGAGATTCCAAGTAAGGAGGAAGGTACGATTGTCATGTCTGAAGTATTTTTCAGTTTTGTTTCTTAATAACAGTCTCAATGAACTTGTTTTTAGATGGTTAAGTACAGTTTTATAATCAGTTTTTTCAAAAAATATTTGATTATTATATTTGAATAAAATATGCATATTAGTGTTGTATATACATTTTCCTTCTGGATAGAAGCCACATTAAACTTTAAAGTGTTACTGAAGTAATTTTTATTCAGATTCATAATTAAATTGCTATTAAATTTTATATGTTCTCTCTCATTCTCCTCCCCACTTTTCCTTAAAGGTTACCTGTGCACTATCATTCTTTTTATTTTCTTTCCACGTACATGAAAAGTCCATTCTCTTGGTATCATTGTAAGTAAAAATGTTTCAAATGTTTTATTTATTTATTTATTATTATGTATTTATAATATGTAAATAAATTTATTACCTATAATCACCTAAGTTCAATATAAAACTACACAAATGTTAAATATAGTTGCATAATATTATTTCATAAAATCATGTTTTTGAATGATCTTTTATAATTTTATTTCTTTATACTTTAAACTGAAAAATTTCATAGACTTATTATTGATATACTTCTTATTTCTTCCTGTTTCTTCATATATATTTTCTATATGCTAATACAAAATATATCTTTCAAAGAGGCTTTCCTCAGATTGGAGCCTGTTTGTCATCTTTGCCTTTTTCATTTTTTTCATTTCCACATCTATTCAGTTGCCTCTTTCTCTCTATTCACCTCTCTATGGGCTTTCATGTTTTGCCTCTTTTTCTTTTGTCAGAACTTTTGGTTAGACTCTCTTGGCAGTCTCTAACCAGACTACTTTGTTTTAGGACCATTAAATTTTTTTCCTGGTCTTCATAGAAATTGGCTGACAGTTCAGGGTATATTATCTCAATATTAAAATAGCGTTTACCCAGAGTTATTGGAATACTCAATCCTGCCCTAGATCAGTCCCAACCCACAACCACTCCACCCCTCACCCTGTTCACTAGGTTCCTGTGGAAGATAGATATGTACAGAATGACGAATGACAAATGAAAGAAGTATTGCTTTTATTAGGTAGAACTTTGGACTGAAACCTCAGTGCATAGCTTTAGTAAGCTGGGCTGGCCTACGTAGAAGGCTTATTTGCTCTGTACAAAATAGGATCACATCATTGCAGCCTGGGAGGACAGCTTGATGTCATCCCCCAAAAAGTCTAAACCTGAGTTACCGCTACGTGAGGCTAGGCTGACCCTACACAAATCCCTAGTGCCGGGAGATAGAACTAGAGTGGAGAGGTACTGCTTTCAAATATGTATATTTTTCCTAGAATTTCTACCTCATAGAAAGGCACCCTATTCGGTGACCTGTTATCTGACCCTAAACAGCCCTGAATTTCTGGGGATCATACTCTGAAACTATATCTAGAATATTTATAACAGTGTATGACTTTAATATAATTGTGGTCAACTATTTTAAAGTTAGCATTAAAAGTTGCTCTTGACCTGGTCCCAGCTAATCTATCATTAAACAAATATTTCATTAAATAAATATTTATTGAGTGCCTACCATTTGCTAGGTACTGTTATATGCACTTGGGATATATCTGTGAACAAAACAGTCAAGATCCCTACTTTCTTAGCTTTCATTCTTAAGGACAGATACTAATTATTAAGTAAAAACAAGAAATTAGTGCATTAGAAGGTAACAAAGGCCATGAGGGAGAAATAAAACAGGGCAAGGGAAGATAGGAGTACCGGAGGTAGGAGTATAGGAGCAAGTGCAGGTTGTAATTTTAAATGTGGATGTCAAGGTAAGCCTCATTGAGGAAGTATTTGAGTGGACTGGAGGAGGTGAGGGAGTTAACTGTGAGGATATCTGAGAGAATAACATTCTTGATAGAGGGAACAGCCAGTGCCAAGGCCCAAGATGGAATTATGCCTCGTGTAGTGAACAACAGAATAGTCAATGTGGCCAGAATGGAGTGGTCAGAGTAGGAAGTAATAGAAGGTGAAATTGAAGTGGTAACAGGGGTGCAAATTGCAAATTATCTAGGACTTTATGGGCTATATTAGGAACTTTAGCTTTTATTCTGAAGGAAATGGGGAACCGTGGAAGGGTTTTGAGGAATCTGACTCACAGAAACTCATGGAAACTGAACTCAGAAACAGAGAGTAGATCTGTAGTTGCCAGGGATTGGTGGGGAACGTGGGTGAAGGTGGTCAAAGGGTACAGACTTCTATAAATAAGTTCTGGGGATCTAATGTACAGCATAGTGGCTATAATTAACAACAGTTAACAGGTATTATATACTTGAAAGTTGCTAAAAGGGTAGATCTTAAAAGCTCTCACCACACACAAAAGGTAACTGAGTTGACAGATGTGTTAATTAACCTTACTGTGGTAATACCTACATGAAATCATCACATCGTACACTTTAAACTTACACAACATTATATCTCAATTATATCTCAATAAAGCTGGGGGAAGAAAGGACACAAGGTGTCCAGTTGTATCAGATGCTGCTAATAGGTCAAGATGAGGCCTGAGAATAGACTGTTTGCCTTAGCAAAATGGAAGTCACTGAGAATAGACTGTCTTAGCACAATGGAAGTGACTTTGACAAGGTTAGTGTTGGTGAAGTGATGCAGGGAAAAGCCTGATTTGGGTGGGTTTAAGAAATGATGAGTGGAAAAGAAGACAAGTATAGATAATTTTTTTAAAAAAAGAAATGACTTATATATGTATTTTTAAAATTGCAGTAAAATATACCATTAGTACATTTACAGTGTGCAACCATCAACACTGTCTACTTCCAAAACATTCATCATCCCGAAAGGAAAACCCATGCCTATTTTTTAAAATAATTTTTAAAATTTTTCAGTTACAGTTGACATACAATATTATATTAGTTTCAGGTATACAATATGGTGATTAGACATTTATATATCTTACAAAGTGGTCACTCCAATAAATCTAGTACTCATCTGACATCCTACATAGTTATTACAATATTATTGACTAACCCCATGCCTATTAAGCAGTCACTCTCCATTCTCCCCTTCCTCAATACTTGTAAGAGTTTTTTCAACTACTTACTAATACAAGGTATTATTATTACCATTTACATACAAGAAAAAAGGTTAAATTAATCATCTGTTCAAGGTCATACAGTAAGTTAGTGGCAGAGATGGAACTAGGCCTCAGGTCTTCTAGGTAGTCCTCTTCTTGAGCATTGCCGCAGTTGAATCCAGATGGCAATGGGACTAGGGGTTGCTGGTAAGGTCACAGTTTGCACCTATGACCCTAAACAGCTCTTTCAAAAAGCCAGTGGCTCCATTTATTGGCATTACGCTTCCTGTTCCTATACTATTGTTCTTTTCATGTAGCCTCTTCCTGTCGTCTTTTTCCTCTTTTCTTTTATTCTATCATCATAAACTTGTTTTCCTTTATAATCCTTTGCCTCTGCTGTCCTTTCTTCAGTGGCAGATGATGACCCTGTTATACCTTTAGTTTTTAACTTAGCTGAGTGATATATAATATGCAGGATCATAAAAAAGTTTGAAAACCACTGTACCAGGAATTCATTTCATATTTAATAAGTAGGGTGAAATACATGAAAAAGCTTTCTCTGAATGTTGAGATCTGTTTATCTGATCCTTTAAGCTACTGTGTATATGACAGAGATCAAATATTTCATTAATGGAATACTGAAAGAATACTGAAAGAATATAAATGTTTCCAGTTATTATAAGTTGACACCTCTGTTTATACTCATTTAGTTTGAACTGATAGTTATAAAAAAGTGACTCAATAATCCATATAGAGACCTTGCTGGCTATTTTTAGTATTTGTTTTTAGCTACCTCGAAAATCAGACAGATAAATGTGCTTATATAATATTTTACAGGTAAGAACTGAAATTATATTCTGTAATATTAAAACACTTTTTCTTTATCATTTTAGTCCTGTCTGCTTAGTTTTAAGTGAAATTCCTTTTATGTCTACTTGGTTTTTACTTGTGTCAACATTTAGGTGAGTAAAACCAATTTCTATATAATATTTTCAGTATAGTTCTTATAAACTCATTTAAAACTTTTTTACAAAGCGATTATGGTTTGAATTGACACTTTTCTTTTGATTTTTTTCCTACTTACCCTTACAGTATGCTACCTCTTCTATTGAAGGATGAACTCCTAATGCCCTCAGTCGTGACAATGATGGCATTTTTTATAGCTTGTGCAACTTCCTTTTCAATATTTGAGAAGACTTCTGAAGAAGAACTGCAGTTGAAATCCTTTTCCATTTCTGTTAGGAGATATCTTCCATATTTTACTTTTCTTCCCAGAATTATACAACATTTGGTAAGCTGTTCAGTTTTTAAGGAATGGTAGTTAGCATGGAACTAGTAAAAAATTAATGTAATATCTTTTTTCTTTTATAACCCTTTTAAGATATAATTCATATAAATTCATACATAAATTCTACCCATTTAAAGTATGTAATTCATTGGTTTTAAGTATATTTACAGAGTTGTACAACCATCACCTAATCTTAGATAATTTTCATCACGCCAAAAAGAAACCCTGTATTCATTAGTAGTCATTCCCCATTCTACCCTTAGCCTTAACCCCTAGCCTTAGACCGCCACTAATCTACCTTCTCTCTCTATAGATTTGCTTATTTGGACATTTCATATAAATGAATGTATTAGTCCGCTAGGGCTTCCATAGACAATACCAAAGACCGGGTGGCTTAAGCAACAGAAATTTACTTTCTCACAGTTTTGGAGACTAGATGTCCAAGATCAAGGTGTAACCAGCTTTGGCTTCTGGTGAGGCCTCTTTTTCTGGCTTGTAGATGACCTTGATGTGTCCTCATATGGCCTCTTCTGTGTGTGGGGGTGGGGGGGTTGAAAGAGTTCTTTGGTGTCTCTTCCTCTTATAAGGACATTAGTTTGATCAGATTAGGGCCCTACCTTTAATTTAACCTCCCTAAAGTTTCTATCTCCACATTGGAGCACATTGGAGCACATTGGAGATTAGAATGTTTTCATGTGAATTTTGTGGGGATACAGTTCAGTCCAAAACGTGGACTCATATGAAGTGTGGCCTTTTGTGACTGGCTTCTTTCACTTAGCATGTTTTAGAGGTTCATCTGTGTTGTAGCATGTATCAATACTTCATTCCTTTTTATTGCCAAATTATATTCCATTATATGAATATACCGCATTTTGTTTATCCATTCATCAGTTGATGGACACTAGGTTACTTCCACTCTTTGGCTGTTATGAATATGCTGCTGTGAAGATTTGTGTACAAGTTCATCAGTGTATATATGTTTTTATTTCCCTTAAGTATATAGTTAGGAGTGGTAATTCTATGTTTAACATTTTGAGAAACTGTGCAACTGTTTTCCAAAGTGCTGCATGTTCTATGTTCCCACCAGCAACATATGAGGGTTCCAATTTTTCCACATCCTTCACAGCACTTGTCTTTTTTATCATGGCCATCCTCGTGGGTGTGAAATGGTATTTCAGTGTGGCTTTGATTTGCATTTCCATAGTTATTATGATACTGAGCATCTTTTTATATGCTTTTTGACCATTTGCATATCTTTGCAGAAATGCCTATTCAAATCCTTTGCCCATTTTAAATTGGGTTGTCTTTTTATTTTTGAATTTAAGAATTCTTTATGCATTCTCAATATGGGGTCTTTTACTAGATATGTAACATGCAAATATAGTCTGTGGGTAGTCTTTGACTTCTTGATGGTATTGTTTGCAGCACAAAAGTTTTGATTTTTATGAAGTCTAATATATCTTTTCTTTTGTGGTTTGTGCTTTGGTGTCATATCTAAGAAACATTAGTAACCAAAGGTCATGAAGATTTACTCATATATTTTTTTAATTAAGAGGTTTATAGTTTTAGTTCTTAGGTTATTTATTCGAGTTAATCTTTGTGTATGGGGTGTTGTTAGAGTCCCAACTTTATTTAGTTTTAGCACCAATGAATTATGTTGGCACCCTTGTTGAAAATCAGCTGATCCTATATGTAAGGATTTATTTATGGACTCTCAGTTCTATTCTATTGACTTATATGTCTACACTCATGCCAGTACCAGTCTTGATTACTATAGCTTTGTAGTTTTGAAATTGAAAATGAGTCCTCCAACTTTGTTCTTTTTCAGGACTGTTTTAGCTATTCTATGTCCCTATGTTTCCACATTATTTTTAGGATAAGCTTGTTAATTTTTCCAAAAACCTGGCTGATATTTTGATAGGGATAGCTTTGAATCTGTGTATCAATTTGTGGAGTATTACCATAATAAGATTTTGTCATCCAAACCTACAAAGATAGGATGTATTTCCATTTATTATTTAGTTTCCTTCAACAGTATTCTGTAGTTTTGAGTGTACCTGTCTTGCACTTTTGTTAAATTTATTTCTAAGTATTCTTTATGATGCTCTTGTAAATGGAATTTTCTTAATTTCATTTTCATAATGTTCATTGCTACTGTATACAATTGACTTTTTTACATGAAACATTCTGTGCTATAAGTTTTTTGTGGATTCCTTATGATTTTCTATTACAAGATTATGTTATCTGCAAATCATAGTTTTACTTCTTTCTTCCCAATCTGGATGCCTTTTTTTCCCCTTGGCCACCCTGGCTAGACTCTCTAGTACAATGTTGAATACAAGTGGCAAGAGTGGACATCTTTTCTTCTTCCTGATTTTAGGGGAAAGCATCCAGCCTTTCACTATTAACTATGATGTTAGCTGTGGGTTTTTTATAAATGGTCTTTATTATTTGGTTAGGGAATTGTATTCCTAGCTTGGGTGTTTTTATTAGGGAAAGGTGTTCGATGTTGTCAACGCTTTTGATGTATCTAATGGATAAAGACAAACTTTAGGAAGGTTAATGCGTTTTTCCCCCTTTATTCTATTATATTACACTGATTGCTTTTTGTATGTTGAACGAACTTCACATTCGTGGGATAAGTCTCACTTGATCATTATGTATAATCCTTTTTTTTTATAAGCCACTGGTTTGGTTTTGCCAGTATTTTGTAAAAGACTATGTATCTATATTTATAAAGGATATCGGTCTGTAGTTCTCTTGTGATGTGTTTGTTTGGTTTTGGTATCTGGGTTAATACTTGCCTCATTGAATGAGTTGGGAAGTGTTCCATTTCTACTTTTTGGAAGAGTTTGTTAAGGATTAGTATTAATTCTTTTATAAACATTTGGTATAATTCACCAGTGAAGCCATCTATGCCTGGGCCTTTCTTTGTGGGACTTTCAGAATGATTATTTCTTTTTGTTAAAGGTCTTCAGTTTCTGTATATCTTGAGACAGTTTCAGTGGTGTGTCTAAGAATCTGTACATTTCATCTATGTTCTCTAATTTGGCTTACAGTTGTTCATAGTAATCTTTTATCCTTTTTTATTTTCATGTATGGTAGAATGATATCCTTTTTTCATTTCTGGTTTTAGGAATTTGTTCCTTCTCTTTTTCCTTGGTCAGTCTAGCTAAAGTTTGTTGGCTTCACTGATCTTTTTACAGAACCAGCTTCTGGTCATTGATTTTCTCTGTTGTTTTTCTATTGTCTATTTCATTGATTTTCATTATAATTTTATTATACCCTTTCTCATACTTGCTTTGGGTTTGGTTTACTCTTCTTTATCTAGTTTCTTAAAGGTCAAGTGATTGATTTGAGGCCTTTTCCCTCATTTTTATATAGGCATTTAAACCTATAAATTCCCATTTGTCATTCCATAAATTTTGATATATATATGTGTATATATATATATACACACACACACACACACACGCGCACACACACACACACATACACACACGCATGTTTTTCTTAGTTAAAAATATAGCCCTTTTCCACTTGATTTCTTTATGAATTATTTAGAAATTTGTTGTTTTCAAATATTTGGGATTTTCTAGATTCCTGTTTTTCTATTCTATTTTAATTTTGATGTTTGGAGAACATACTTTGTATTTCAATATTTTCAAATGTATTGACTTTGTTGTGTTAATTTCTCCATTTTCAAAGGATATTTTTTGCTAGAAATGGAATTATTGCCTTTTCTTATAGCATTTGAATGACATTCATCTCAGTGCCTTGTGGCTTCCACGTTTTCTTATAAGAAGTCAGCTGTTAAAATCTTATTAAAGATAGTTTGTAAGTGTATTTATTTTTAGATTCTTATTAGATATCCAAGTGGCAATATTAAGGAGCATTTGGATATATGAATCTGCAGTTTAGGGGAGTGGTCTAGGCTGGAGACAGTAATCTGAGTTTTTGGCATATAGATGATAATTAAAGTCATATCACTAATGAGCTCACCAAAGCTGCGCATAGATTAAGAAAATTAAGTACTGAGCCCTGGGATACTACAATGTATAGATGAGGGCGGGGGGCGGGGGTGGCATGAAAAGGAACCAGCAAAATTGTCTGAGAAGGATAAACTAGTGAGGTGGGAAGAAAGCATGACCATGGTGTCATGGAAGCCCGTGAAGGAAGTGTTTCAAGGATATGGGAGTGTTGTTGTCATTTCAGGTGCTGCTGACAGATCAAATAGGCAATAAGAATTGAACGCTGGATTTAGTACAGTGGAGGTTATTATGGATCTTTTACCAGGGCAATTGCATTGGAGTGACTAGGGTGAAAGCCTAATTGGTGTAGGTTCACTAGTGAGTGGGAGAACTGGATGTGGCAAGTTATAGGCAACTCTTTTGGGAAACTTTGCTATAAATATGAGCAGATAATGGAGGTAATAGCTGGAGTTTGTTAAAATGGGAGATTTTAGCATGTCTTTTAACACTGATTCAAGATCATAGTATCGTGACATTTCAACCAGTCCTGTATTTCTTAAGTTTAATTTGAGGATTTCACTTCAGAAATTTTCTCTCTACTAAGGTTGACTCAGGGATTTTCCCCTTGGAGGATAACTGCAGCCTATTTATACCTGTCTGTGAGCCTTTTTGGCTCCCACCCTTCCCACTCTTCCATCTGAAATGATCACTGCATTACTCCCTATTTCGGTCTCATGACTCCTGTCATAGCCCTTAAAGCATCTTTCAGGGTTTTATTGACGTCCCACCTCCTTCATGACAGTCACTGAGTACTGTTTCTTACTGCTTGCTTCCTATATTCACTTAAGCAGCTTCTGTGTATTATGTGCTACCCCAGGGCTAAAATGAATAAGATCTGGCTGGTCCTTGTCTTAAAGGAGCTCACAGTCTAGAGCTAAACTGTCCAATACAGTAGCCACTAGACACACATGGTAATTTAGACTTAGTAAAATTAAATACAATAAATAATTTATTTCCTCATTTGCAGCAGGACATTTCAGATTCTCAGCAGCCACATGTGGTTAGCACCTGCTCATTTGGAGTACACAGATATAGAACATTTCCATCAATACAGAAAGTTCTACTGTACAGTACATTGGTCTAGAGAAGAAAACTGCTACACAATTACAATCAATGCAGTAATTATTTTTACTATTCAATTTGGCATTTAATAAAAAGTGACCATGTGATTTTATTTAACTAGTTCATGCATTCCCCTAACTAAAATGAAAACTCTGAGGCCAGAGTACATTTTCTTTCATAAGCCCCACCTTTACTTTACTGCTTTACTGCAACACTAGCTCACTGAAAGTATACAATGAACATGAAATATAATTTTCCATTTGCCATGGATAACTTTCCCATAGAGGACTCAGGGCCCTGGAGTATGCTGTGAATTTAAGCCTAACAATATTATCTGTTCCAGATAACTTTTCTTCAGTGCCTGGGTGGTATGAAGTATAAGATGGGACTTTTCAGGCTTCACTACGCATGGGAATCACTTGGAGAACTTTAAAAAATATTGAGGCCTACCCTAGAAATTCTGATTTAATTGCTCTTGGGTGTGGCATGGGCATTGAGATATGATTCTAACTTGCAGCCTAGGTTGAGATCTAACTTGTAGGTGATTCTAACTTGCAGCCTAGATTGAAATCTACCAGAAGAGATTGTATCCCCAACCTTCAACTTCAGTTCTGCTCATTTAGAGCTATAAATGTGTGTTACCAGCACCTTTAAATTTTCTTTTATGTTACTTAATAATACTTCTTTTTCTTCCTTACAGTTTCTTATCTCGATAATCATTATGGTCCTTCTGACACTGATGACTGTCACACTGGATCCTCCTCAGAAATTACCGGACTTATTTTCTGTATTGGTGTGTTTTGTATCCTGCTTGAACTTCTTGTTCTTCTTGATATATTTTAACATTATAATCATGTGGGATTCTAAAAACAGAAGAAATCAGAAGAAAATCAACTAGCTCTATGTGAAATGTGAAATTGTTAACAAGTGCTAAAAGGTTTTATGATTTTTTTTTTTTGCTATGTATAAATAAAATTACCATTTTGAGGATTATGAAATTATAGGAAATAGTAAAAAGTCATTGTTCTGTACACAAATGTATAGGGGTACCAAAGTCCAATGGAGGCTTTTATTTTTCTAACCATTAAGTAGCCAAGACATACTAGTTTTATTAATATTCAGTTATTCAAGCAGGAAAATAAGATATTTTTAATCCAAGTATTTACTTAGGAAATGTACTCTATAATTTACTATCTTGGAAAAAATCTGCAAATACAGTGAGCTTGATGGGAGAATTTAGCCCCTTCTTTTGAAAGGAAATTACTAATTTTGGTATTTAACTGTAATGTTCCTTACATTTTAGAATATAATAATGTGTGCTTCTTTCTTTATAAATTGTATCTCAGGGATTAAATTTGTGATAATCTTTTAAATGACTATGAGAGGGCAGATTAAACTGTTTGAAGTTTGAACATGCCTTACTACATGTGCAAACTTTAATTTTTTTAACAAGGCAGAGATTAACCTCTGTTATTTCTAAGAATGCTGATTTAATTGAATGTAATTAATGAATTTTCCTGAATTTAAATCTAAGTGGTTTGAGAGGTCTTTTTATTACTCATGATCACTAGATTCTAAACTTCCAGGATCATTTTAAGTTAAATGGCTTTATGCAGGATTTCATCCTTCTGTGCTTTTTGTTACGACATGGTTCAAGGTTACCACTGTGATAAGCACTGATTCATATCATGCTTCATGTTAACCTGACTCTGTTAATACTATATCACTATTTATTAGCAGAAGCCCATCTTTACTATAGTATTCAATTGGAAAAAATAATGTATTCTATGTTGTACTTTCTCATGTAAAGGTGTTGAGTCTCTGTGACAAAAATAAAATCATTGTCCCATCAGTCTATATTTTAATGAATGTATTTATTTCATAAGATAGCCATTAAAGCATAACTGGTAGTATATTGTAAAACAATGCAAGCCAAACACATTACACACAAAGAAAATGTGGTTCTAGGCATGGACAACCAAAGGCTGATAAAAGAAGGTATGATAAAGGAAGTGGGTTTAGACAAAGTGAAAATCAAGAAGTATTTCTTTCTCAAAGTAAATGTGCATAAAGACTCAAAGGGCAGGTCAGCAGAGAAAAGCAGCCTTGAATCACTGCCGAATCAGCAAGAACATCGCTGTCCATGGTCACCATCTGTAATCAAGTGTGCCCAAATGTCAGCATCTTGGCTGGCGAGCGTAGTCTTATTTTTTTAGTTTTTATTTTTTTGTAATAGCATACTTGTGTCTAACACAGGATGTTGATTTAAATCAGGGATGAGGAAGTTCTAACTTCTGAATAACTGGAATAGGAAATGTTACTTTTTAAAAACAAAAGTATATTTAGTAAATATTTAGTATATTGCTCCCCATTCAGCCCACATATAACATTAGTAAAATAGAATGCACCCATATTCACGGTATCTTATAGGTAAATTCTGTAAATAAAATATTTTCTAGATGATTTAACCTAATCTTACCAAGTTAGTTACATTATAGTTTTATGGAGACTTGTAGCAATTATAGGTCAAGTATCTCATATCTATTAGAAACCAGTTTAAGGAGAGTCCACTTCGAACTTTGAAGGATTAAGTTCCAAAATACCAAAAATGTCCAGTGATAAATTAAGATCACAGAAACAAGCAATTCCAAAGCACTTCTCTCAGCTACACCCAGGATTATAGGAATGTTTTAACATAAAGATATTTAGGTTATGCAAAAATATTAACAATTTCTCACTTCACTAATACACCTGTCAAAAATGAACCCTTCTAAATTATTTTCAAGTTCATTTTAGAGGGAAGGGCCATTTCTGAGAAATGCAGTTGCCAATAGGTTTGCTTCTTAAAATGAAGAGAATAGGGTGTATGTTCATGTATCAAATATGAAGCACACAGAAGTCATTTTCCTTTGAGGCCTTAGGGAAGGGAGAAAAATCCCCGATGTAGCATTCTGTCCAAAAGATAAACAACAACTACGTGAGTGAAACATTTACAAAAGTCAAGGTAGCCGAAGGAGCCTCTCTGTTCAATAGAGAGTAAGAGATGGATAGGATACAACTAAATAATGGCTGGAGAAACAACAGTTTCAAGTCTCAATTGGTCTCTTCTGCTATGTTCATTGGAAAATCAGGGCCAAGTATATTGCTCCCCATTCAGCCCCCACATAAACATTAGTTTTGTGTGTGGATCTTTCTGCTTTGTCCTTCATGTGGCCTCCAAGGGTGATAAAGCGAGAGTCATATGATCCGCAATGAAGAGAACTGAGAAATGATTCTTAGCAGGCCCAGCTGTTCTGAAAGGCAAAAGCTTAGTATATCTAGAGGTCAAATATACAGTAACTGATTTAATAGCATTAAGCATATACCTGCATAACTTGGATTACATATGAAAACCAATCTACTTCTTGACCCTTTATTTCCTTACGAATATAGGTTTCTTTATTCTGGCTTACGTTCTAAGGTTTTCATTGCTACAACACAAAAGAATTATCCTTTTGGGTACGTTTTAGGTAATGTCCTATTATAAGGGCTGTATCACAAAGAGCTCTTAATATTTAGCAGACAGATTATCTTAAAATATTTAATACCAATAAAATCATTAGTGAAGACCAGTTTAATAGTTAATTGGGCTATTGTTTAATATCTATCATTTAATAGTTAAAAAAATAATTTTAAGAGGTAAATCTAGACTTTCTAAATGGAAAATTAGTTACTTTCAACCTTATTTTGTTAAATTTTATTTTAGGTTTTTATAAAGTATTTTTATTTTCATGATACACTGAATTAAATGCAATGGTGATATCCTGTACAAATTTTGTTAAGACTTAGGACAAGTACCAAGGAATAGCATTTTTCCCTTGTAGAAATGGTCAAAGTATAGAAGTTTATAAAAATCATGTTATCAAGTTATAACACATTCTGTGATCCCTTCTTCCCCTTTATATTTTGTGACAGCACAAACATGATATAAAACACTACCATAGAAAAACAAATTAATGCTTTAAAATAATTTGGGGAGGATCACAAATTGCCCCCATAAAAAGTTTTTTTTTCTATAAATTCAGTAGAGTCTGTAGTTCAGTTTAAAAACAACTTCATATTTAAATGTCTACTAAAAAATACATTCCAATATTTTATAAAAGGTGTGAAAATTTTAAAACTTTGAGAATATCTTTTTTCTCTACAAGAATAGTAATAACTAGAATAGAAAAAAGTATCACTGAGATAGTAGCTACAAAAACTAAATTTTAAAAGTTTTAAAAAGGATCTAATTAATATACATCTGGGCCTTTAAATGGGAAAACTGATACCTAATTCCACTCACCATTAAATTTAATCTTTTAAAATCTATAGCTCTACCAAAGTGCCATTTTTATAAATGCTTTATTAAGTCTATCCACAGATGCTAAAACTATACAGAAGCATATGTGATATAGAATATAAGTCAAGATCCTTGTCTACATGTTGGCTCACTCATTAAAGGGTCAAGAAGAAATGTATTATTTACATTGAGATTATCTACTGGTGTGTGTAGAAAGTTTAAATTAGCTGCAAGAAATTTTATCTACACATGCACCTGCCTAATGCTATGATCTGGTATTTACTGGGCAGATTAATTACAAACATTTTTTCTGTCCCTTTAAATATGACCAGGCAGATGCAAAAGTTGGTGTTCATAGTGAGTGCATTTCTTCTAAATGCCTGCAGGATATAAAAGATGATTATAAAAGATTATTATTAAATCAAGAATTAGTTTCCAAATTAATATGCATCTCATATATGATGAAAGAAGATTTAAAACACCCATTTATCATGTAATTTCATACCTAGTTTAGATACTGTTAATCTCTCATTTGCTTAATTTTTATTCTTCTAAACAAGATTCACCTTCACAAATAATTATCAACATGACTACACCGATACTCTTCACTTTATGTGAATATAGATTTTGATGTACTTCTGAGAGTTCTAAAACTCCAATATGACCTGTTGAAAACACCAAAATCTACATGCCTTTTGTCTATAAGCCTTAAGGGCCTTTCAGCAGGTGTTTCCTCCAACAGCTGCCCCCCCAAAAAAGACAGTATTTACTGACATTCCTATTCACAGTGTGTCCCTCTGGGGACTCCTAGTGGTGGTAGAAGTTCTTTTTGGCTTTAAGACCCTTGTGTGGAAAGGAAGACTTTGAAGAAAGCAGCCATTGGCAATTGATGGCATATATTCCCACAGGGCATGTGGACCATTCATTCCTGAAATACCCCTTCCTTGATTACATGGGCAGCTATGAAGAAGTAACGCACGGTGGGCTGCTATTGAGAGTCTCGATATTCCTCTTGGCCTATAAGAAGATAGGCTGCCAACTTGACAACCAACTTTTGCCAACTCACACTTGAGTTTGGTCTGAATTCCTAAAGATTTTAAGCACTCTCATGTTCACTTAAATATCATTATAGGTTATTGATACATAGTTATCAGAACTAATGATAATACTATAGAGGAAAGGAAGACTATCATTTAGTAAACAGTTACTATGAGAGAGGTACTAATTAATTATTTTGTATAATCTCACTGTCTCATTTATAATTAAGGTTTAAAGGAACCAAATATCTTGTTTAAGGCCACATAACTAAGTAGAAAATAGAACTGGTGCTGGACATCTAATCCAAATATTATTCTCTATTATAATGCCAGCCCCTACAAAGACATTTCATCAATTGATCATGGCTGCTAGAATTGTGTTCAGAAAGATTCTAAGGCCAAATTCAGGATCTAGCAAAAATAAATTGATCAATGTGAGGTATGTCACAGCACAAGAGTGGAGCAATGTTTGTTATCTCTACATTGCCATACTGGTTCTGAAGATAACACAAACGAAAAGCAATTTAGATACAGTGATGTAGTTTATGAGCAGTATTTTGACAGGACTTATCCTTCATATAGTAATTATATTCTTTCTAAAACATTTTGCATTGTTGCTTCCTTAATAATCTTCACTGGCCCACTTTTGCCTAATGAATAAATCCTGAACTTAGTAGCCTGGTGATTACAATTATCAATGATGTGGCTGGAATCTACCATTCAATCATTCTGCTTCTCTGCCTAGCATGTTTACACAACCTATCGAAATCACCCATTTTTCAAATCCCAACTTCCATGTAAAGTACAAAGTTTCTATTACTAGGTTCTGGGTGACCCTCTGACATAATGTACTGTGGAATAACTAGAACTTTAAAATCATGAACCCTTAAATAATAATCTAGGCATCCCAGCCTGAGATAATCTATGTGTTGTATTTCTATACTACTGCTTATTCTTCATTTGGTACTTAGAGAGGAATATTTATATTCCTTCAGTCTGAAGAGGAAAGAACTTCTGTCAACTCTTTTGCTCTGTATACCCCACGAAAGAGTGACACATTTGACTGTTCAAAGTACAGAACACTGGTCCACAGTTTACTACTAATACGACATGTCATTACTCTTACACAACACTCTTCCTCACAATTTAGTTTCCCTTTCACTGTCTACTCTCAAGTTCAATGGGCCTTTGTGCTTCCTAATTTCATGAAGACCAGCCCATTCTATCTCCCTTCTGCAACCAAGCATATAAGACAGGTACAAAGATCCAGATTTCCCCTCAGGTTTAGGAGCGCATATAGTGTTTAAGATTTAGATTCAGTGTGGGAGAAAGGTTTCACTTCTGCCTTAGGCACAATCCACATTAGTTACCCCAAGCTTCTACCAGAGGGACTGCTATGTTGAAAATTTTCAACTCCTCCACTAATCAAGTTGATTCTGACCCTCTCTGGACTCAATCCTTTTTTGCATTTGCTATTACTCAGAACTCTGGAAAGAAGAAGAGTCTGAACTTGTATCACTATCATAGCTTGCCTTGTATTGTTATTATTTCATGTATATAAATCTTGTATCCTTAGCTTGAATACTAGGTTTCAAAAAGTTGGCATTTATGCACAGTGCTGTGTTTATACTAAGCCTCATACTTTTGTTAATCAAGGATTTATCTACATTGTTTCTAGATAAAGTATCCCCAGTATCCTGTTAAGATTAATCAAAATCATGCCTTTTCTCCCCACCCACCCCTTTCTTGGTCTCCATACCATTTATGGCCTATGGGTTGATGTCACCCTTACTCCCAGTCTCTCTTATGGTAACATTATTTTATAAAGGATTCACTTTTTAAAGTCAATCTGTATAGGGTAGTTTCCCTGACTGACTGCTTTGGGAGTGAATCTGTATAGGGTAGTTCCCCTGACTGACCACTATAGGTCAGAAGGAATAATCACTGAAGAAAGATGGCGGGAGCTGCCGTTCAGACAGGGAAGTTGGACACAGTGGTCTCAGAAGTACAATGACTGTTAGAGGTTTCTAGGACATAGGACAAAATCAGGAATTTAACACCCTCCCTTAGTCGTGCCAGTTGGGCAGCCATGACAAATGTACAAAGAAGAGCATTGAGAGAACATGGAAGAGAGGAATCTGAGGAAGCTTAGTGTAAGGCGAGATATAAACAGGGTTTGAAAGATGGGCAAAATTTTGACAATGATGGAGGAAAAGGTATGCCAAGAAGAGGAGACAAGAACAAAGGTAAAGGAAGGAGAAAGGTATGTGTCTGGAGAATGGCAAGTAATTTGGAGTGACTTAGACACAAAGACAAATTAGAAAGGCAAACTGGTGAGATCAGGGAGAGTTCTGAATGTCAGTATATATTCGGATTTTACTGTGGATATAGTGGACTGATACCTTCTAAAGCATAATTTATCCAGTAGCAGGTCAGGCTGTAGAGGAAAGGGACTAAAGGGCAGAGAGGCAGGTTACAATGGGGATGATGATAATCTAAATGAGGGGTAATGAAGGAATAAACTAATGCAGTGGGAACAAAATGGAGAAGTAAACATTTTTGGAAGTGATATGACCTGGCAGCAGTTTGGATGGGGGGACAAAAAGAGAGACAGAATTTTGAGGTTTTGAGCCTTACCATTAGATGAATATAATCCCCAGAAAGACAGAATGAAGAACAATTTGGGGGTGGGCGAAATGATGAAATCAGCATACTTGGGGGACAATGTACAGTAGCTGAGATGTGGGCTTACAGCTCAGGAGGAGGGTCACAAATAGATTTGGAAACAATAAATAACACTAAGGTGAGAACTAAAGTCAAGGGAATGGATGCGATCATGAAGAAATTGCCTGAAGTGAGAAGAAAACACAGTCAAGAGAACCCAGGGAACTATCTCCAAGGTAAATCAAGTTTCATTTCACTGTTATTTTCTGTTGCTTCCCCACTAAAAAGGAGGTTGACTGGTAGGTTAACCTTAATTCTTTCAAGTTTTTTGAAAGTACTACTCAAAAACTCAGATAATCTTTGCTATCATTGATGAACACAAAGCTATTCTCAGTACTCTTAAGTTCTCCCCAGTTCAGTCATGAGACTGTCACATACTCAATGTGTATGTTCACTTGCCAAATATGTAACTATGAATATGTATTTATGATTACCGTCTAATAGTTCTCTGTTGGATTTCCATGAGTCAGAAATTTTATAAAATATTTAACCCTATAATGAATGAATATGCATATGCATGTGTATATATACTATATCCTTACTATCTAATAGGAGCTAAAACCTTTGACTAGTAGGAAAAATTGACATTCATAGATTACTGCTCTGTAGTGGGCAAGAGCATGGACTCTGGCATCAAACTACTCAGGTTAGTATCCTGGCTATCTCTCAGAGGTGGATCCTGGGACAAGGCACTTAATCTCTTTGTGCTCAGTTTCCTTACCTATGAAATAAAGATAATAACTATATCTACTCCATTTAAGTTGTGAAGGTTAAATGGCTTATGTATAAAGTGCTTATAATAGTGCCTGGCACATTGAAAGTGCTCAATAAATGTTAGATATTTTTATAAACTATTATTCGTTGTATACAACAGAATGAACATTTTAACGAATGAAAGTGACAATTTTCTATATAAGATGCTTTGCAAATATTTTAAGAAGAGCTAGTTTGCTAGAAAGCTAATATTAATCAATTGAGATACCATTTTAAAGAAATGTATTTTCAAGATACAACAGGATTCTTTCATTATGCATTAATTTTTTTCTAAGAGATAGCAGGCAACATCTGGTTAGTTTCTAAGAAAATTGATACTGATGCCACTAAGTCTGGGATAATGCTAGTTCTTAATGTGAACCTTCAGTTACAAGTATACCAAACACTAATGTCACATCGTGCCTCATATTGCTTCTAGCTAAGTTATAAGTTATATTTGTAAATATGTCATTTTTACTTGAATTGCTGAATTCACAAGAGGTATTTTGAAGAAAAGGTACAACTAATTAATATATAATTATTTAATCAATGCAGCACATTTCCAGATTAATAGACTTGTTATATCTTGTTCAGTCAGGTATGCCCTACCGAAACTATAACCCACCTGTGAGTATCTAGTTAGCTACTTACACCAAAGGTGCTCAGTTAAGGGCCCTCTTTATATTCACTTAAAAATATGCCCTCTCCAACTTTAAAGCAAGCCTAGTAGGCTCAACTCTGTTCTCTTTCAATCAGCCTCTAACTCACAGATCTTGTCAGATTGGCCTTCTAATTGTTTATAAGAACAGATTAAATATAATTTCAACTAAAACTCCAAAGCGCATGGCCCTGTTTTCTTTGTAGACAGGACCAAATTTGATAATATAAATAAAATGTTTCCACCTGAACAAAACAGTAAAATTTAACAAGGCTAAACTTAATTAGAAAGGTGCAACAGTACCTCAATTTAAAATGGCTTTAAGGAATTCATAGCTGTCAAGATGATGTAACTCTGTGTGAAAGAAAAAAAGTTTTTCAGAAAGCAGTTCGAAGTTAAGTTGTCGCAGTATATGATGCAGAATAAATGCTGAATTAAAATGAAATTTAAATAATGAACCCAAATGTAAAGTTTTATTTTACATTATAAATTGCAGCTTTGGGGCTATAAATTCTCATTTCAACATCTTGATTTGCTCGATTCTGTTCCAGAATGTACATTAAAAAGTTTAGGATGAAAACTGCCAGAAATTTATTATTATATGTATGCTTATGGTTTATAATAATTATTTGTCTAGATTTTATAATCCTGAGGGAAAGACTATGTCTGTCTTGTTTATTAGCATATCCTCAATGCTAGAACAGTGTCTGGCTCACAGTAGGTATTTAGTAAATATTACATGCATGAGGTATGCAGAGATAGCGATTTATAAGTATTTGAAAATATCTAGATAATTCCTTTAAATAATTCTTAGAGTGGCCATTTGTTTTTATTCATTCACTGAACACGCATTATGGACCTTCCATTTGGGTTCTATACTAGACTCCTTGGCTACAGTATAGAGGATAAGATTTTACTTGTTTGCCAGGACAGAGTCCAGAAGGGCCCTGTGACCAGACAATCACAATACACTACAACATGATACATTTATAAACATTCAGACAAGTGTTGTAGAAGCCTAGAAGATGAAGCAATTTAGCTTTACTTAGGCTAGCTCAGGAAAGTTTCACAGAGGATATGACATCTGAGGCTGACCTTAGAATGAGCAGAAGTTTGCTAGACAGAGAAGGAAGAAAGAGCAAACCAATTAGAGAGAGAAGCAGCAGAGGGGCCTTGAGTCCCAAAAGAGAGAGATTGCAGGGCTAAAGATTATGGTGTGAATGGTGTGAATTAAAGTGACTACTTTCCTTCTATGTGAGGGCTAAGTTGGAGTAAAAAGTCACCTAACATTTACTTACCATATAAGTCCTCCTTTAAACTATATAATTAGCTCTATAATACTATAAATATCTACATAATTATTATAAATATGTGTTTAAAATAAGTAAACCACTTAGAGAATTTATCTAACTCTTTTCCGAGTTTTTCTGACTAAAAGTTAGAATGGGGAAAAAAAAATGTTCACCTGTCAGGTGGCATAAAACCAATTTCTACTAAATTTGCCAGAATAATTTTTCTCCACCTCAAGAACAGTTAGTCTTCAGTCTGTTCATTACTGTCTTTTTATAGTATTTTTATTTAATAAAACCTATTAAGACTACCATACAAATCTCTTTACTTATGCTTTTATCTTTTAGCTGATCAATTTTTATATTGCTGACATCCCTTCTTCACCATTTGCTCATTTAAAAATTCATAGTATGTGAGATATGTCTCTGGAGAAAATGTCTATAAAATTTGTTACAGCTGGCAAATGTGTATGAGTCAGTGATAGCACATGACTAAATGCTTCACAGAAAATAAAATTTGTTTCTGTAGTAAGCAGAACTGTTTAAATGTTATTTATTTTTATGTTTCAAAGAAAATATATTGTGAAGTGCTGCATTGATTTAATACGCAACTATGTCTGTGTACACGCTGTAGAAGGAAAATTTATGAAACCTTTGCACAACTCCTTTAATTGAATTTTCCAAATCTCTCACCACACACAAATAATCAATATCTTCTGCAGAGAAAACCAGTCAGAATTATTACAGTCTTTCGTTTCAATTTTGTTGTCATCAGCACATACAGAGCACCTGGATATTTGTAACGTCTGATAGCAAGTTATTTATACCTCGTAAACACATAATTGCTATTAAATGAGTTCAAATCTATGGTTTAATTTTTTTTTTTACTGATTACTTAAAAGATAAAAATTATCATACTTCTAGTAAAGTATAAAAAAATTTAAATCACTGAAAAATTATTTAGGCTTTAAAAATAAAGCAGTTTTGCCTTAAATCCTAGACAAATCTTGAGCAAGCAGTTAAAATGTATCCTCCAAACAGTGATGAATAATGTAAAACAAGAGCATTAACATTATTAATAGGAAAGGTATGACCAGAGTACAGCGTACATGACAGCTGAATGCTTATAAAGAGCTGAGGACTACAGTTGTACATGAATGTATATTTGTGCCACCAAAATTAATATCTCCATTTTTTATCTCCAGATAAAGAATTGTTAAAGCATAGGGGGAAATTTTGTTGTTTCCTCTAAAACTCATCATGTCTAAACTTCGAACCTCAGTGTTTTTAAAACTGAAGAATTTGCCTGAAAAAAGATACTGTTTAAGATATGATAGAAAAAAACTAAAAGGGTAGCAGTCTTCTAGGAGTAAAATTATTCAGCTGATATGATGAATACTTTTTCAAGACTGAGTGGGGGAAAGAACAACATATTTTTAAGTTGAAAAATACTTCAGTGGGTGGTTAGAATGAAAAGGCAGTAGCAAACTATTTTATAGTCTTAGAACAAGAGTTTAAAATTTATCCTGTGGTCCAAAATTTTAAAACTTTTAAGTCCTATAGCCAAGATGAATCTTACAATATAAGACAGTAAATTAGCTAAAGAAAACAGAAACATTATACTCTGTGCTTTTCTTTTTTAAGGCCAGAGCTAGAAATTCTTAAATATTTTGGATTACAAAAAGCTGAAACAATCAACTTTTTTGAACAATGTAAAGTTCAGATAGTTAACATTTCATTTAAAATATGCATACTACGACCTACACAATTATTCTCAAAAACAATAAAATATGTTTTGGACTAAAGCTAAATGTCTAGATTTCATATCTTGGCAACTGATCTACAATCTGCTTACATTCTTTTCAAAAATATTTTGTTTACTGGAAGTACTAGTCACAGACAAACAATGATGGTATTTTCTAATATCTCCGGAAAAAATGAAAAATACTAAGTACTATATAATGCCATCTATTGACTTAGGAATATTTGTATCAAGTTGTTTTAAGTTGAGGTTGATTATGTAAAGTAAATAAATTTCATGCTTTACCATGTGATGATAACGTGACATTCTATTTGTATCAACCCACTGAATGGTCATATGTTTTAAATCTTCAGCATGACAAATTAAAAATAATTATGAAAATTCACATCCAAATATAACAGAGAAAGAACCTTTCATTACATTATTTTTCTAATAGTCATAAAGCCAACATTATTAAGAAAAGTGAAGTTAGGTTTACTTCCTAAGTAACTGAGAAAAGAAAGAAGCTTTCCTTTGTTTAAGAAATTTATACTTAGAAGAGATGGAATCCTCTTTATTTATACACTCTATCAAGGCATTCCCTGATTTGCAAGGTTCAGTTCTTCTGTAAACTATGGTAATCTCAGTGTACCTTTTCATGTTGTCTATGTTTAACTTTTTTGAAGAATAAGTTATATAAAGCCTTAAGAATGTATGTCAGATGTCTATTTATTTAAAACATTAGAGTATTATTTTTACAATTATACTCCTCTGCTTGTAAGGAAGACTGCAACTGATACTAAACAAAACTAGCACTGAAATAAAAAAAACAAATAGAACTAAAAGACCAATGTGAAGGGGCAATGACAGCATAAGTGTTAGAATTCTCCTGGTACTGTCTACTCTAACTATTCTAGGAAAATTTAGTAAGAATCTGAAAGGATATTCTTTTGATAGTGAAACAAATAATTTATTTGTTCTTATCTTCATAATTACCTAACTAAACAAATCCAATACATGTTATAGGGCTGATTTTTATATTACATAATTTCTACCTATATAATTTCTAATATTAAAAAGATTCTCAAAATGTCTAAAAATGCTGACAATTCTCAGTAATAGCATTAGTAAAAGAAAAGAGTAAAGTAGAAATTTCTATAAAAAATTAAAGGCTAGATCTCAAAATGAAGGATATATAAAGTAAATTAGTTTGAGATAATAAAAAAAACCGTAAGTCCTGTTAAAATGAATGTATGAATAAGAGGGTGAAAGTTATTAACTTAGCAAATTTACATATATATGTGCATGTGTTGGTGTACAGCATTTTTAATCAAAAAACAAAACAAAAAGTACTACTAAAATTTTTTAAATGCACATATTTGGAATAAGAGAAAGAGGAGGGAAAAGCACCCAGAAAAATATATAGTTCAAACTCACATTATAAAGAAAATAAGCTTCAATCTATTTTTCAGGCATTACTTCAAAATAGTTAAAAAGCTAATAAAGATTTGAATGCCTCAGGAAATATAAAGAGAAAATGTAGCTCTTGCTAAGGAAATATAAAGAGAAAATGTAGCTCTTGCTAAGAAACAGAAAGATGACATATATTCTAATATATACACCATATATTAATATATAACATATATATATCTTAATTCAGTTTTCATTTAAATGACAACAAATAATCAATGCTTACGAGAAATTTTAAAACATGATTTAGTGATACAATCCTCTAATACTTAGTCCTTAGGGAAAACCTGGTAATGGGCAAATCAGTTTTAATGTCTAAAATATTAGAAAATAGTTTTAAGGCTGATCATGCATAAACAAAGAATCAGTATATACTAGATTTCTGAAAAAAGAAAACTTTTAACACATGGACATAACTTAAATGTCTTAATAAATGTTCAGATAAAGAAACAATACTTTTGGAAAAATTTTTCCCATTAATTTTTAGCAATGACAATCACTTATTCTATAATTTTCCCTTCCTCATTTTTCAAAACTGTTGTCGAAAACCAACTATGTAAAGCCTAATTCTAATTAGTTCTAGGAAATTACAGATTAAAAAAAAAAATCACACAATTGGCATAGAATATACAGACTCAAGATCTCCTCTAACTAAAACAAAACATTCCAATTTCCCATTTTGATCCTCTAAAACCTGTCAAGTTAGGAGAGACTGAAACCTCTGAAACCTAGTTATACATTAAAATCAAGTTACATAGCATAAGAGAGATCTCAAAAGCTTTTCCAAGAAAAAGCTACCTTATGTTCTTAAACTCTTGGGATCACAATGGAAGTTAGTTGCTCAACTAAACAGATCAGGAAGCCTACCCAGCTCCCTTCCCATATGAGTTTTGGGAAAGTCTTGCCATGGGTGCTGGCGTGCCCTGAGCTAGTTGGCTTTTGGAACTGTCCAGCAGGTAAACTCAGCATTGTCCACTGCAAACTCATCACCAGCTTGCTAAAGATCCGAAACAGTCTAAAATACTAGATTGGACCAGATTCAGTTATGCCTCATGTTTGAATCTAAAAGCTGGAGTGATTTGGATGATTTGATTTGTTTTAGGAAGAGGCAACATGGAATAATGAAAAGACTATATTTTTTGAGGTCAGACTAGTCTTTAGTTGGAAACCCTGCTCTGATACTTAAGTAAAGCATTTTGGGGCAAGTTACTTAACATTTTCTGTGTCACTGTTCCTTATCTATAATGACAATGATAATAGCTATCTTGCGCAGTTGCTGTAAAGATCTGCTGATCCTAGTGTTGGGAACATAGTAATTATTGGTCTTCAATAAATGGTAGTCACTGGTACTCAAAAATGATAGACTAAAAACATAACTTTTTAGTCCATTTCAAGGCTTATCTGTTTGCAGACATTGCTAAATAGGATTCATGGCAGTAATATTTAAATGATCCCTCTTAACTTGGTCTAAAGATATTTTAATATTTTGTAGTCCGTGATTATTTTGCTTACTGAGGTGTGGATGTGCATGTGTTATAGGAATTTAAAACCTGCTAAAATTTAGTTTCCCATGCTGTGATATGCTCAGAGGCATGAGTTAACAGTAGATCAAATGTCATTAATGATCTGAAAGTTTTTAGAGCACTGGTTACAAAGTAACTTTTTATAAAAGCTTTGTGTATCCTTTTAATTCACCATTAAAAGTTGCTGTATTCTCAAAAAGAACTTTTAATAAAAGTACAAAATTTAAATCTTAAACTGAAAATTATATTTCAATAGATATTTAAAAAGTTCAATCATCAGGGAAGTTGATCTCATCAGACATGGTCTTCTGCTAAATACAATATAAGATTTTTCAAATGAGATTCCTGCTCTTTTAAGAGTACACTAAAGACTCGTGATGACTGGTTTTAAATGGTAAAATGAGATGAAAGAATGTTTTATATAATAAAAGACAACTTTTTACCTTTGTTAGGAAGTCCTGAACTCTTCTTTTCGAACAGTTTTTGTTTCATTACTTTTGTCACTAGAAGAAAAAAAAAGTTATGTTAAGAATTAACATGGAATATAAATAATTTCTCATCTTGGAAGAAATAACTTCATGAAACAAAATTCGAAGTAATACATATGTAAAGGTATCAAGTACAAAATGCAATACCTTATTATATCTTATTTAAAGAATGAGCACTACATTTAAAATGCCCAATACCAGTTTCCAAGGTACATTCTTTCCTTTCACATTCAAGAGAAATCCCTGAAATAACATAGCCTGGTGAAAGATATGTGGCTTCTTATTCTTAAAATAATATTTCTATCATATGTTCAGTAGTGATATATATAAAGAAGTCTACCAAATTTAAATTTGGGAAAAATGAGTAGATTTAACTCTAAAATTTAAAATATTAAAATATATATCTAAGTTTGCAAACAAGGGATGTAGAGACACTATTATAACTTATAAAGTTTTCTTACTTAGTTCTTTTGTTTTCTGCATTTCTCTTTTTAAGAAACGCGATGTACAGGAGATACCAATGAGATTTTCAAGCTCTCTACTGCCCTCCAAAGCCTAAAAGAAAGTCATTTTACATGAGTTAAGTTCTCTTCAAATATAATATTACTGACAAGTCTAATGAAAATATAGTACACTGTTCCCTTCATCTGAAAAACTTAAACTCTACTGTAGGAAATCTAACATATTCTGGTAGGTCAACTATTACAAGCCCTAAAATGCCTGAGTAAAAATAACATGTTAACTAAAAAGTCTAAATATAATCTACAAATTTACTTTTAAAAGTGAAAAAGCCATATGTAATTAAAATATTATGTTAATTAATGTTCATATAAGAAATTCTCATGAAAAGTAAATTAAACATATCTCCTGCAAACTCTCTTCTGGATTGGATTTTCCAATCTGGGGCTTCTCTCCTATTCTCCTTTTTCAAATAGGGTAGTAGAAATTTGAAATTATGTCAAAAAAAAAAAAAAAAAGCAAACCTGAATAATACTTAAACTTTGCATTATTTCCATGATTTCTTCTGATGATTTCTCAACTTTAGATAGCAACACCATGAATCTATGAATAAAAAAATTTTTAGCAAGATCAAGCATTTAAACACAAATCATTTTCACAACTTTGATTCTTTTTAAAGCAGCTTACAATCAGTTTTCTAGTCCTTCTCTTTACATTTTTCAAAGTGGTAAAAGACATAAATGCTCCTCCTCCATTCTTTCATTCCTTTACAAACAAAATATGTATTAGCAACCATCCTGTCTTTTGGAGTTTCACTTTCATTCCCACAGAACAGTGGGAGAAATGTCCAATCCTGTACAGAATTTTTATGAGTTTATTTAAGCCAAAGTGACCAAATGCTGGGAAGCATGATCTCAAATGCTCCTGAGAATGGCAGTTTAACAGTTTCTTTTATGCATTTGAAATTAAGGAAGGAACGTAAGGAAGACTACATGAAGGTAAGAGAAACCAAGGTACAGGACAGTTGACAAGATTTAGTGCTTCCTTCAGGGGTCTGGAAAAGAGGATTACTTCTGGCAGTTGAAGGGTGAGTTAACCTAGATGCACAAAAATAACGGGCAGGGCTTGCTTAAAAACCTTTTGCTAAAAATGTTATAGGCGTGGGGTGTCACAACCCATCATGACCTGCCCAATTAGGAATTTATGATCAGACTACCCTGTGAGGTTACTTTCAGTCACATTTAGTATAGAGCCCCTTTTTCGTCTACAAGATATAGTTGGCTTGTTCCTTTCTCCACAATATTACTTTGAGAACACGAATAGACCACCATCTCCTTATTTATCTAGATCTGAGTTAGTGTTACTCAGTGATTTTTTTAAATTAAAATAAGTTCTATGGCTTTAATATATTTATGTGAAAAGACACAAAGGCACTCTCTTAAATTTGAAAACAAAACTTCACTTGTAATCTTATCTTCTAAAGTATCTCTAGTTAGCACGTTAACACTCCAACAAAGTTCTTTTAGTTTTTATTATTTTTTAAAATTTCTATAACTATGTATCATATTTTCTTTCCTTAATATAATATGTATTTTTTGGAGGCACATCATCCATGTCTATAATTTCAAAGGCTGCACAATACGGTACCTAGTAAAACAGCAAAGATGATTTAACCACTCCCTCATTGTTGCAATTTTAGTTTCTTTTCAAATTTTAAGATCTCTTAGCTATGTATGATAATCCAGAACAGTGCAGTGTAATAGAAATAAATTGCCAACCACGTATGTACTTTAGTCTAGCAGTCACATTAAAAGAAATGAAAAGGAACTGTTGAACTTAACAATATATTTTATTTAACTAAATATATCAAAGTATGTTGGGTAATCATTTCAACATGTTATCAATATTTCAACATGTAATCAATATTAAAATTATTCATGATAGTTTACTTTTTTTTTCAATATCCAGTTTGTACTTTATATTCATAATATCTCATTTCAAAGTAGCCACATTTCAAATGCTTATTAGTCATGTGTGGCTGGCTAGTGACTACTGTTTCGGAGAACACTACACTATCAATTTTATGAGAAACTAGAACTACTTAAATGTTTTCCAAAATCACATCAGTGTTATCCATTAATATTTGTGTGCTATTAAAAATGAGACAAATATGTTAAATGTTCATACACAGTGAATATATACACTATGTTTCAACTAAGTAAAATATATATCTAAGTATGTGAGCAAGGTATGGAGACAGCATTATGCAAAAGCTAAAAATTATGTGAAGATAGTGAAATTTTAGTTAATTTTTTTCTTTAGAGTTTTTCCTTTATATTATTGTTTTTTCAATTAAAAGTAATCTGTCTGAGGCCCCAATTACTTAGCACTGGAATTTCAGTTTGAGAGTGTCAAAAAGGGATTCCAGCTCCTCTCATTGAGTTCAAAAAGCCTGAAGGATCACCATAATAAAAATAAAAATAAATATTTAAAAAAAAAAGCTTGAAGGAGCAAGAGGACTTAAGTGACTTCTACCCAGGGCTGGGAATGTCTAGTTTCCTCTATATCAGCGGTCCCCGACCTTTTTGGCACCAGGGACCGGTGCTTCTATGAGTATCTAATGCCTGATGATCTGAGGTGGAGCTGAGGTGGTGATGCTAGCATTGGGAAGCAGCTACAAATACATATGAATCTTTGCTTGCTTGCCCACTGCTAACCTGCTGTGCAGCCTGGTTTCTAACACGCCACAGACTGGTACCGTGGCCCAGGGGTTGGGGACCTCTGCCCTACATTATAACTAAGCCTAAGTGCCTCAGGGGCACAAAGCTGAGGCAAGCAACTACTTTGCTATGAGAAGAAATCCTAGGGGTCCTTTACTTTGCATTCCTTTCCTAAGAGGACTGGAGTGGCAGAATCTCTCCACGCTGCCTTACCACACCTTAATGAACTGATGGTGCTTCCTATTGACCCTCAGGGAACTGTGTGGGTAGGGCTGAGACTTGCAGGGTTGCCATCTTGAATGATTTCAAGGAATTCTGTTTAAATAAAGATGTGAATGGTGCCCTCCGGAGCTGTGCAATATAGCGTCCCTAAAGGACCTCAGTTAAGATGGTTTTTGGAGGGCTCAGCTAAGCACAGTGTTTTGACAACCATAGGGAGTTGTATTGACTGAGTATCAATTATTTGGGGAAACCATTTTCAAGTATTCTTCACATGCCTAAGCTGCTTCCTGTTTCCACTGCAGGACCAAGTGAACAAGGAGACACTTTATTACTCTTCTCCTTTTTAATTTCCTATCCTCTCCTCCTACTCCTCCTCTATTTCTTCCTAGAAGAAATCAACTCCTCCCATCTCAATGACAACCAAATTCATGGAATGGTTTTATAACACTCATCCATTTATTAAATTTTGAGAAATTCAGGAAATGTGTTCTCTTCCACATCTTCTGACTCAGTAGAGAAGCCTTCATAAACTTTGGAGCTAAACTGTTTGCTGAGCCGTTTTGGGGGGAAGTAGGGTTGCTATTGTCTTCATCCTAGACAAACTGGCAATTCTCATATTTAATCCCACTTGTGCTGGAGACTGGATTTTTACTGCTGCTGATAGCATTTTTCTATATTTTTAATGGATGGGATTCAAATTCTACTTTGCAGCCCTCAAACAGTATTATTTGCTTATTAGAGTAAAACGGTCTTTAATGTCTTTAGTTTTCCTTCACTAATTTACTTATTTCTGAAAACCTATGATCTTTTATTTCTGCCTGCAGAATGTTTTTCATATTCACTGTTATAAAATGTCAGTTATTGTTGCTCCCTCTTTCAAGTTGGTGAGTGAAAGTATCATCAGTGGGTGCCATTCATATTTTATAGAATGCTATTCCTTTCTTAAACAGATTTGCCTCTGGCTGGGCTGAATTGGGTCAAATCCTTCATCTTATAATGACCCTTGTGAACTGTGCATATGTCAACAGGTACTGCATCCAGATATGCAGTGACTGCTGCCAGTTTCATGATATCTATATATATCTATATCTATATCTATCTATCTATCTATCTATCTATCTATCTATCTATCTATCTATCTATCATCTCCTTACAATATTTGATCAAATCCTGTATTATGGCCAAAGACCACTGTAGTACAACTTGAAAATCTGAAATCTTAGTCGGTCCTCCTTGAATAAACCTTGTCTTTGTTCATTAATAGAGTAAAAACCCAGCATCACCTTTTTTTAGTATCTAGTATTTTATTTATTTATTTAGC